TATCGATATTTCAATGACAAATTCCGGCGAACTTTTGTACTACACCCAAAGAGTTAGCAAGCGGGAAATTGAGATTGGACCTTAATTCACCGAATTCAGCCATAATTCAGACCATTATCACGCTCCATGATAAATCTGTGGAAGCAAACTTCATTTTTGAGCCGATTTATATGATGTCGATTTGGCAGGCTGGTAGGTGAATTGAAAACATATTAGTTCGAAAGGTATTTATATGAGGGCCAATTCCACCTACTGCAAGTCAAGTTTGAAAGACATACAAATGAGTAGAGAAACTAAAAAGCCAGTCAGAGTGAGCTCTAAGAACTCAAAACCTTCGAGAGTTTGGAAAAATATTTTTATGAAAGAAGGAAAGATAATTTTTCTGTGTACTGTGAATAAAAACTTAATATACATTTGAACATTCAAAACGTTGCAGAAATTTCTCTCTTTTTACTGTCAATTTGGACTGATGACGCAATGCAACGTTCCGAATATACAAATGTATATTGAGTTTTTATTCACAGTACACAGAAAAATTATCTATCATTTATTTTCGTCACAAAATTGATACATATCAGAAATTTTGTGTTTCACATTTTGGTTTTGTCGCTCTATCTTCACCTCGTCAGAGGTTTTTAATTTGATATCAGTAATTTTGTGAGAGTAACTTTCCAAATTAAAGATTCAAAACATCTCCACACATGAATTTTAATAATTTTGAAAAACAATTAAAATATGGACTTTTAGGTTATTTTTTTTGCTCCAAATGTCATAAATTATGGCTCATAAGGGGAACGGCCAATTTTCAGTGGTGTGTGGTAAACACTTTTTTATCTTTGACTTGGGGCATAAATCAATGAAATTCTCAAAAGAAACTATGGAGTCTTCTTCGAGAAAATATCCGTTATGTGTCCGACCAGACGGTCAAATTTTGATTTTTGGCCGATTTGGCCACCTGAACTTGAATTTTTTAAATCGCAATTGGCACCATTTGATAGCTTACTTCAAGAACTTTCCAACGAATATGCATATGCCCTGAATTTGTCAGCCAATCACAGCGATTATTTGAGAAAACTGCCATTTTTGGCCATTTTTGCACTATCGAAGGTCAATTCTTGAAAACAAGAATTTTCTGGGATATAAGCTATGCGGCTTAGACTTGGGCCTAAAATCGGTGAAATTTTCAATGGACCAAGTAAGGCTAGTTTTTGAGATAATGGTCGTTATGTGTCCGGCCGAACGGTAACTTTTAGGTTTTTAGCCGATTTGGCCACTCCAAATTGGAATTTTTTTAACCCGGTGACTGTAGGGACAAAAGTCAAAAAGTGACTTTTGAAGGCCGAACACGGCCAACATGGTGGCCAAATCGAAAAGTGCCGCAACAAAAAACTCTTAGTTTTTTGTGTACTTTAATCACAGAAAGTTTCAAAAAGATCAGAAACAACTACGCAAAATCGCGGACAGACACGCAGACATTTTGATTTTTCATGGAGATTCATATGAAATTTTTAAAATAATAAATTTTTCGAACGGATTGATCGATTTTGACGTTTGAGGTATCGTTGGAAAGGTAACGAGCTCTAGAATCATCGATACTTCAGGGGCAAGACCTCATTTAGTGCTATGGCCGTAGAACTGAATTTTGACCCTTTTCTTGAAAGGACCATATTTTGAAGACAGGTGGACCGATTTTAAAACTTTGATATTTTTTCTTGATCCATGGCCCAAGGGCTGTCCAACCGTATCTTATACACAAGACTAATCCACCAAAAATTGGAAAATAGAAGAGTTTTTACTCAAAATGTTCGATGTTTCTTACCAAAAACCGAAGAATGTACTAAAGATATCACACATCTCCATAAATTAATGTGTTTTGAAGCTGGAATGCTTCTCAACAAAAAAATAATTGATTACACCTTTGGTATACAGTCGCTTGGACCATCCAAATATATCGAACACGTCGTGCTATTTTTTTGGGATGGTCAGTCTCAAGTACATCATATCCACTCATTCGGAAAACAGCCGTACTCGCAAAGAGTCCAAACCCTCTAGCTTTTTATGATGTATTGAGGCTGACCAAGCAATCATCTTATAAAATCAAATTTTGATTTAAGCTTTTGTTGAATAAGTTCATTTTTTATGTTTACTCTTTCTGGTGACCATTTCCTTTATTTTAGTAACATTTTTATTTAAATCGGAGTCAATTACATTACTTTTGGATCAAACTGGATTTTTTTGGAGACCATTTTCCCTTTTTTTTGGAGACCATTTGTATTTTTTTCGTGACACTTTAATTTTTTTGGAGGCAATTTCTATTTGTTCGGTTACTTTCTTCCATTTTTTTGCCGGCCATTTTTTTAACGTTTGGAGGCCACTTTTCTCTTTTTTGGAGGCCATTCTCTTTTTTTGGTGACTTTTTTGCATTTTTTGGAGACCATTTTCTATTTTTTTGACGGCCACTTGTTCTTTTTTGAAGATTTTTACTATTTTTTTAGAGGCCAATTTGGTTACCATTCGATTAAAAAAACTATCAAAAACCATTTTGCCAATGAACAATCACTTCTATTGAAACAAGAAAAGTGATTCATCATTAAAACAATAACGTCAACTGACCAGTTAGTTCAATATATTGTCTGTAAATTTTTTCTAAATGTCTAAAATAATTCGAGTCAAATTTAAAGATAATGAATAATGAAACCTGAATTCGAGAATTCGTGCGAATAACGACAAATATTGGTTACCTGTGATTCTGTTAACAGAATAATTATTTATGGGTTTGCTGTAATTTGGAAAAGTAAAAAGCTCACAAGTGTTGCCATTCCAGCGGTACAGCCCCGTTAATTTGACCGAGAGCAATTTTATTTGAAAATTCCTTAAATTCTCATTTGATGGACAATGTCCATTGGACATGCTTTGTAAAACTTCTGAATGATAACATACAAAATTACAAATGATCATTGGTTGAGAAAAATCATGACTAAAATTATTTCTGATTTTCAAAAATGAAACACAGAAAAATGTGCATTACAAAGAGTGAAACTTTATAAATCAACTCACAAGATCGATTCATATGAAAAAATTCCATTGAAACAAAAAAAATATCCCGAATGTAGGCAAATTTGAGTGTAACAAAATGAAACACGCAAGAGTGTAACAAAATGAATATCCATATGGTAATGCAATATTCTATCCTTTTTCACAGACAAAATCTGAAGCAATAATCAGTGGACATTGTCGCCGTTATCAACATGAAAAGAAACGCTTTCAAATCGAAGCCGTTACGTTATGCAACATTCGTATAAGTCGGAACCCCCTAGCTGAATGGTAATCGAAAATATTTTCAGTGTGAAATGAAATTGGTCCACTTCAAAATCCACTTCAAAATTTAACTCAATTACTGAGAAGAATAAATGGCGTACAGAAAAAAAGCAATAAATGTTTTTTATTATATTAGTTATAATATTATAATACAATTATTTAGATTTATTGGAATTGCAAAGAATTCTTAGCTTTAAATAGATTTTATTATTGCAAATATGTAATTATAAGATTCAAACTTATCATACAAATTTGATGGTAACATTTTTGTTATAACGTACTTTTTGCGAATTCAGCTATTACATTGGTGATTCGTTCTGTTTTCCAAGATTCTGCAAATGGAAGTTTGATGTTTATTTTTGCGAGTGTTTCTTATTTGTGTACATGTACAAGTAATCCATACTAATTAAGCTAAATTTTGTTCACTTTATGGACATTTTTTGAGTAATTCCGTAAGATTGAAAATTCAATGCCATAATTTTCTTTTGATAGTTTTCTGGTTTTTCACTCAAAAACTCAAATTATGAATGCAGTTACACCACAGATTTTCTACAGACTACTACAATTTAAATGGAAACGACACAAAAATGTGAAAATATGTCATTGAATTTTCAATATTACGGAATTACTCAAAAAAAAATGCCAAAAATGAACAACATTTTAATAGCCATTTCCATACCTTTGATTGTAAACAATTGGCCATTAAATGTTCAGAGCTCTGACAATAATGGCATCTTTTTGTTTGTGTTTCTGTACAATGAGCCGCCAAATGATTTGTAAATTTGCCACAATTGTAACATCTGAAAAATGATAATTAATAAAATCAATTCATGTACTAGAATCGTTATTTAAGCAAGCACACGTACCTGCTTTTTCTAAAGCGTTTTTTACTCTTTTCGTGAATTTTGCTACCCTCCAACTGTTTATTATCCGGTCCAGTGACTAAAGTTGCTTCAACGCCTTTGTCGGTAGGTTTTGATTTAAAATCAACAATTTCATTCTCGCCTAATGATCGAAATCCCGTCATATCTAACACGCTCTGAAATGTTTAATACTTGTATAAGTTCTTGTAAGAACTTTATAACAATTTTGTACGAAGATTCTAGTATAATATTTCAGACAATATATTGAGCTGAATATTCATTTGAAATGAAACGAAATAGCACGCTATTTTTGATAAAACAATAGAAGTGATTGTTTTGGTTATAAAACACTTACGTTGGTACAATAATTATAACAATCACTTCTATTATTGTCTGTAATATTTAACGTTTGAGTATATACTGCAGAATTTTGAATAATGTAATAATGACTGTAGTAATTCCGCGAAGGATTATTTTAAAGAATAACAAAAATGTCAGATTATGGCATTCTAATGCCAATTATCAATTACGGAATTGCACAAAAAATCTCAAAAGTGAACAAAACTGGACAATCCAAGTGTGGCAATACCGAAATCAATTCTCGGAAATATAATAAACATCACGGTTTTGTTTTGTTTATAGTTTTTGCATTGGACTTGTCGGATTTTGTTCACTTTTTAGAAAATTTTTCGGGCAATTCCGTAATATTCCAATGCTATAATCTGATATTATTGTGTTTCGGAAAATCGATTGCGGAATTCACTCTTTTTAATATTTGGCAGCAAATTTAGATATCTAAAATAACAAAATAGAACTCTACTCTTGTGTCACGCAGTACTGAACGGAAAAATTCAATAAAAAATTGAGCAAAAAGACTTTTATATTTTGAAGAGAAAATATATTAATATAATAATGGCTAAACTACGGGATTTTCACCGTGCTGGTAGGCCTAAATAGGTGATTTTGCTCATTGGGGATATATCGGGACATATTCGAATATTTGTCAAATATGCACTATATATTCAGAATATCCATGTTGGTCGTACGCCCCTAGGTATGACTGCAGTAAAACTTTAATTTGAGGAAAATGTGTATCTCTGTGACGAATCTTAATCCGTAATATGGGTTTTTAAGTAAAGAGTCACAAAACTTTCAAATTATGGCATTTTCAAGATAAAATCCCAGAGAAAATAACCCTATGCTAAACTATTTGGTTCAGTACGTTCTTCTATTCAATAATTTTTGTTTATTTTTTACTTGATTTGAGCCGAATAATAAACATTTGTTGAGAGACAAAAAAATGGTATAAGAACCATTTTTTATGTACTAACCTGGTGTACAAAAACTTCTTGTGATCCGTCGTCCGGAATAATGAATCCCCAACCCTTCGATGTGTTAAACCACTTACATTTTCCACGACGAAAATCCAAACTTGTTCTTGTACGACTGACAGATGCTGATTTAAAAGAGTTGAGAATATATTAAAAATCAATCGCGTTTGAAGTACAAGAAACTAATTTAAATTTAACCAATTATCAATATGTGGAATTTTGAAATCATTAAAAAATGCGTATTCGCTTTTACATAAGAAATTCATTGAACAAACATTTCATATGAACAAATGTCGAAATATTTCATTCATAGAAAGAATGCGCATGTTTACATTCATTCTTTGTAAATATTGTAGTAAAATTATCAATGTACCACTGATAAACAGCTATTGACTGTTACATTTAGTGAGGAATGTAACGAATGAATTGGGAAAGTGGTACAATAACTCAAAACATTTGTTTTTCGTTCCCAAAAATGTTATCGCTTGAAATATATTTTGAATTGGTGAAAAAAAAAAACAATCTCAACAATTTCTGAACAAATACATTTATCAATGAAGGTATTTTTTACTATTTTTCATTCCTTCGGAAGTTCGATTGCTCAATATCGTAAAAACAAGAATGAAAAGATTAGAATGAAGCAATGTTCGAACAATAACTAAAAAAAAATGAATTCGAAATTGAACGTTGTCAAAATTTCTCACGGTTTTGGCGCATAACATTGAATTGCCGTTATTTTCAGTGAATAATATTTTATTTACCTGTGAAGAGGTAAGAGCAAACGAATAATTACCAAACAACAAGAATACACCCTGACTATAAAGACCGTACTGTCGCTACCTTTTGAGTATGATTTATCCAAACTGAAGATCAAATTACATATTCAAAAATGGCAAGTCAACAGTATATGCAATCACTATCACCGTTTGCGCAATTGTTTTATTTGATTTATGCGGATTTATGTTGGTGATTCAAAGAAATCATTGCTTTTGATGTTATGTTTCATAAATTAAATTAAATTAAATTAAATTAAATTAAAAGAAACAACAACATTAACGTCTCTTACCAACTGCAGTTGACTTGTTTTCGGTAACATCTGATGGTTTCTCTGCATCCATTTTTGTCGCAAACATCTTACCAGAAGAGGCAAAACAGTGTCCAAATTATTTTAAGTAAAAACGTTCATTGATTAAGAAAATTACTGTTTGATTTGAAGAAAAATTTAAAAAAAAAAGTTCAAATAGTTTAGCCCAAGATGGCCTACGTGAGAAACACAATGTACGACTGACCTATAATGCCGGAAAAATAAAACAGAAAACATAAATTTGGTACCGAAAAAATGTGAACGTATATGGCTCCGTTGCATATACGTCTAAACATAAACACACATGCATACGTGTTTTTCTCTAACAGTATTGACATGTAGATCGGCATCATTGGTTCTATTTCAATGGAAAGAAGAGAAAACAAAAACAAAACGATAATAGCAAATAGTGCGTAGCATGCGTCCGGACGCACCGGCATTCAGAAAAAATAGTATCGATATCATAGTAGACGAGGATACATACATGCACGCATTATGTCCTTTCGATGTAATTTTATCAATAGGTATGCCAGTATGTGAATATCATTGCCTTTTGATTATAACTGTATTTTCGAATGAAGTGATTTTTTTTTTTCAAAAGTTAACCGTAGAGAATATTAACGCCTTTTATTGATCACTTGTATTTTTTTATATATATGTATATATCTTAAAAAAGAAACTGGAGATGATTTTGGATTGAATTTAATAGAAAGAAAATAGAAATATTTTATATTATTCTATGGCTGATTGCGAAACAACAGCCAATTTGAATTCTTCTTTAGATACTAGAGAAAAAGCTATAAATACAAATACATTTTGTTGCAAAAATTCTGTATTACCGATAGTTTAACATAAATAAATAAAAAGCACTTTATGTCAGCGCCATCTAATGCTAAATTAGCTACCAAATGGCATGCGATAGCGATATGTCAATGTGCCAAAGCAAGAACATTTTTCATTCAATTTACTATTGCATTGTATACGATGAACGCTGCAACAAATCGGGAGGTTTTGCAATTGTATCGAAAATTATTACGATACGGCAAAGAATTGAAATTCACAGATCAATCCTATTTTCGAAGACGAGTTCGCAAGGAGTTCATTTTAAATAAGGACTTGGAATCACAAGCAGATATTGAATTCCAAATTAAGGTTATTTCATCACAATTTACATAATTTTTTAGTACGCAACTGTTAAAAAGTCTTTATTTTCTTTAGAGAGGTGAAGCTCTACTGCAGCGGAAGAGAGTAGTTTGATGTGGTCTAGACAACGACTGAGATATGATTCGCGTATTCTTTCATCCACTTTGTCATCAATACAATCAAGTTTTACCACTAAAATTCATTAAACACGTATATCACACCTCAAATATACTCAGTAGCAAAAAATCCATTGATTACTCTCGTGTTCCAGTGCTCGATGAAAATGATTTGCAAATGCAAATGGTTCGTGGCAGTGGACCTGGAGGTCAAGCGGTGCAAAAAACCAACAATTGCATAGTTTTGAAACACATACCAACTGGCATTGTTGTAAAATGTCATAAACATCGAATGGCATTGCAGAATCAAAAAGAAGCCCGTAAACTGATGATAACACGTTTGGATAATGCAATGAATGGTGAACAATCCGTAGAAAATCAATTGAAACGTTTAGAAATGAAAAAAAGCTCAACGAGTTCATGGAAACAGAGAAAACTGAACGAACTGAAAAAAGAGTGGAAAGAGCGCGAAAATATTGAATAAATGTTGTTAAAGTATAAATATAGAAAATAAAACATAGATATGATTGATATTCCTAAAAGATTTGTATTTATTCAAACAGAACCGATTTATTCACCATGAACCGAAATTACCAAAACCAAAAGTTTGAGTTTTCTTTTTCTTTGGCAATGGAGCATCAGTGCTTGTCGTCGTTGGTTGACTTGATGTTGATATTGATGCGGTGTTTAAATATTTACCAACGCCCGAACGAAATACTTTCAATGGTTGTGCTTTTTCTTTTCGCTTTTTTTCTTCGGCAGCTGCTTTTTGTTGCTTTTCCACTTCGTCAGCACGTTCTTTTGCCAGCATCTCGTCAGCTTCTTGGTATGGATCCACAAATATGTGTATCTAAAAAATGTTTAATCATTTTAAATAAAAATTCAATTGAATATTTTTAAAATGTCGCACCTTCTCAATGACAATATCTTCGATAGGTCGATCTTTGTTGTCCACTTCGACCTTTTCCATTTCATTTAGCGTGTCCATTCCACCAACCAATTTTCCAAAAATCGTATGTTTTCCATCCAAATGACGGCACGATCGATACGTAATGAAACTAGTAAAACAAAAATAACATTATTTTATGGATTTTTGACTTCGAATCAAATCATTCATACTCACAATTGTGAACCGTTTGTATTTGGTCCGGAATTTGCCATTGATAATATACCTAAAATGATATTGATACTTTTTCGATATTGTTTCTTGATTTAAAGAAAGCAGAGACTGTTTCTCAGAGCAATATATGTAAGGAGGATCCAGAGGAGCACTGAAGAGCAGAGCTCCTCTCCTGTGAGGTATTAAAAGTAAAAAGTCAAAATCTGCTGCTCCTCACATATATTTCGCTGAGTAACAGTCTCTGAAAGAAAATAATTTATTTACCTCGACCGGTGTGTGACAATTGTGGTAAAATTTCATCTTCAAATTTATCTCCCCAGATGGACTTTCCACCACGGCCACTTTTTGTTGGATCACCGCCTTGAATCTGATTCAAATGAATGGAATTTTTCATCAATTTGAATGAATAATTAGATTGAATAATGCAATGGTTACCCACCATAAAATTTTTAATCGACCGATGAAATACCGTACCATCATAATAACCATTTGAACAGTGTCGCATAAAATTTTCACACGTTTTTGGCACCATATCACAATACAGTTCGATATTGAGAGGTCCAAGATTTGTATTCAGTCTAACATATCCCTTCTTCTTGACTCGTTCGTATCGAACAATGCAATCGTCCAATATGGCCGCTTCGTGATTATAAACTGGTGCCATTGCTGTTGACGTAAAACTTGCCGCAACCGCACCGGTTGAATAATGTGCGGAATTAAATTTGTCGGCAATAACTTTACGGCTGCTTGAAGCCTCTGTTTCATCTTTTTTCTCGTTGCTTTTGAAACCCGCCTCTAACTCGTTCAAGATGTCTTTTGTTTCAGCCGATACGGTTTTTAGGCGACCGTGTGGGTCTTTCTTTTCCAATTTTTCTTCCTCAGTTTCAACACGTAAGCCTTTCCGAATATGATAAAACGTCGATATATTAAACTTTTCTAATTTGTTTGGGTCTTGAATTGTAATTATATCCTTTCGCACAAACGGCGTATCGTCCACTAAATCTTTCCAATTCTTTGTTTTGATATTTAATTGTTCAACCGCTTCATATGAGAAAACATTGCCAGTTGATGCAATGGCAACGATGTACGAATTTTTGGTGAACGGTTTAAACAATGATGGACAGTGATAGTCACCATCAGCATTGCGATGAAAATTCAATTTAATCAATGATTTGGAATCGCAAGGCTTTCCAGTAATTGGATTAACTTTAAACGTTTTCAAAAAGTCGATTATTGCGTTCAATTCAAAGATGTTCCCATCCAAATCACTGTATGGTGTTTCGAATGGAATCATTGTTATCGAACAGCAATCGAATGGTAATCGCTTAAATTTAATATGTTCGTCTTCGTTTGATTCCAATTTTTTGCCACCATAAAACTGAGACCATTCAGTGTACGTTAGGTACCTAAAAATATGAAAATAAAAAAAATATATAAGAAGAGTTCAATAAACAATACTAATGCCATTCAAATGATTTTCCACACAGAATGAACTCACATTTTATCCTTTTGATGTTGTCGTTTTCCCATTTTGACTTATTTTTGGTCAATCTTCTTCTATAAATTAAAAATATAATTGTTTATTTTGGATATAAGTCGTTGTTTTGTAGCACAAAACCAATAAATCGTATATTCAATCTGTCAAATAAGTTGATAGGTTCTTTCATTCATATGTGTCATTGATATCTGGCAACACTGTTTGTTTGAGTGGGTTCATAGCCACTGAAATGTATGATAGAGAAAAAAAAGGTATTTAAATATTTAAGAACTGTTAAAGTCATTTTGTTAGATAAAATGGTCTCTCTTAAATATTATCAGAAAACTGAAATTATGCAACAGCCCATTTGAAGTAGAATGAAAAATATTCGAGCAATATTTACAATTACAAGGACAAAATACAATTAATATTTGAAATTTTCTTGATATTATTGAATGTTATATAGCAGCAAAGTCAACATTCCTAACTCGATCAATGCGTATATTCCTTACATAATTCTCCGAGCGTTTGTTTACATGAATAAAAGGTTTCGCGTAGCATGTGATATGATTTCATAAATGCCGTATATTTTGAATGCTAGTTTTGGCGAGAGTCAAATAAATGAAGAATGAGAAAGCTGTGAATGGTGTTTTGCTTCTCGTGTGAATGATGCTCTGTATGATGGCAGCGTAATACAAAGTTACATTTGAATTCGAATGATTAAAATACACACCCACTTCGAAGAATCGACTGGCACCAGCATTTGTAGCAAATTTGTGTGTTGTTTTTTTTTTTACTGTTGAGCGACGCACCAACACAACGATGCAAGTGAACGACGCATGTGGCAAATACAGTATAGACAGATAACGAAACAGAAACATTGGCCCCGACGTATGCGATCATCATGCGCTATGTGGTATGAAAAATCAAAAAGCCAATGTTTTGTGGCCGATGTGCGCGTGAGAGATTGACTCTCTCTCTCTCTCTCTCTCTCTCTCTTTCTCTTTTTATATATTCAACAATCAATGTGTGAACGAAATGAACAGAGAAGAGAAAAAAAGGCAAAGAGGCGATGAGAAACACAGTTTACCGAGCACATACTCAGATTCAATTCCAATACATTCATGCACCGCTGAATACCAATGCATACAACACAGACGAACGAATGAATGAACAAACAAACACTAATACCCGTGCGCACCATCATACATGGTAAATGTGCGCGGGCGGCCATCTTGCAATATATTTTCAATCGTACTACGATGTGAATTCCAAACTTTGCACTAAATTTAAAATTAGTTCTTGGTTGACTTTTTGATTGTATGGTTGCTCTGCTGCTCTGTACAGTTTTTGACTCAAATTCACATAGTAAATAATAAATATAACAACAACAACAACAACAAAAACAACAACAATACGGAGAATAATATCACAACACATTTTCGTAAATAATTCATTTTAAACCATTTCAAAGGATTAAATTGGCTAAATAGTGTGATAATCGATAAATTTTCGTTGTTATTAATCATTCGATCGATTGCTATCTAAATAATCATCAGTTAATTGGTCAAAATCTTAAATTATATGAACAGATTTTCATGTGCATTGAATACATTTCGTTTGACACAAATATATCTATACAATTACACTTTTTTTTCGTTTCAAACATCTGAAATGAATTTAATTTTGAACGAATGAAAAAAGAGATGCGAAATGTTTATGTATACTGTGATCAATATGATGATATTTGAGCATACTAGTGAGAATTTTATATGAGAGAAGAAAAAAAAAACGCAACGCGAAAAATAAAAAGTAATTGAATTTATTACGAATATTTTCTTTCGACAGAAAAAAGGCGAGAGAAAGAAATCGACGAGTAAAAGACAAAGACGACATAAAAAAAAGAAGAAGACTTAAAGAGAACAAGTTGAATTGTGTGAATTACTACCGACATTTCTGTTGGAAGAAAAAGAGAAAAAAAAGAATCATTTAGTTTATTTTGACTTAAAGTAAGGTGCGACTAGTGTTGTGATGCTCATGATATTTAAATTAAATGTTTTCATTTAGTTTCGGTCGCCTAATTTTTCATGCCAGAAATTATTTTCCACTCAAACAAAAAAATATTACCGCACACGATTTAATAAAGACTCTTTATTCATAGAATTGCAAATGCATTTTATACTGTGTTCGATCAATCGATCGATCGATCGGTTTCAAATTTGTTCATACCTCAATATTCATACGATGATTATATTCTCACATAAAAAAAGCATTTGTGCCGTATGAGATGCTTTGCAATTGCTATGAATATACAATATATACATACGTATATTTTCCGTGTTGTATCGATGATTTGATTTTTGATTTTCATTCGTCAATAGAGTTGAAGATAAACGCATTGAAAAGTAGACTCAATCGTCAGAAATTATCTACATACCGCCCAAAATTATTATTATTTTTTCTTTCTTTCTTGGATTTAACGCGATTTAAATCAGATAAACAAATGGGGACGTTCCGTCGAATCCAATCACCGGCTCTATAACTATGAAAATCAAAAATCGAATTCGTCTATTGGCCTGTGAATATATCTAATCGAAACCATCGATTTATAGATAACAACTCATTGAAGCAGACGGAACAATTGTAAATCAAATAAAAAAAAAAATAAACAAACAGAATAAAAAAAGAATTAGAAGAAAAACATTGAAGAAAATCAAAAAAATTTTTGGAGTAATTAAAGAAAAATCGAATTCATCAGTGATTGGTGAACAGAACCTGTTCGATATCGAGATAATATAACGTAAATGCCAATCGGAACGCGTTGCGTGCAATCAACCGGATAAGCAAAATAATACCGAACCGAAAGAGACAATTTATTGTTTTTATTTATATATATAAATAATTTTATCATCAAAAATGAATTGTGATAACAATAATCTGCAAACCACACAAAGTATAGCTGATTACTTGGCTCAACTACTTAAGGACAGAAAGCAGCTTGCTGCTTTTCCAACAGTATTCAATCATGTGGAACGTTTACTAGATGAAGGTTAGTTTTCATTCATTCATTATTTTTCCGCTTTGAAATTTTTTGGTCAATTGCATAATATAAGTAAAGTGTTGTATTAAATCTATTTGCGATCATTGCATCCATTGCTGAGAAAGATCTAAGTTGAATAAACGCTTTGCCAGCCAGCTCAGATCTAGCAAAGATAATTGCAAAACAATTTTCCGGTTTCACTTCGTTACTTCCATCTTCTCAGTTTCTTTTTTTCTCTCTCTCTACTTTTCTACTCCTGCTGTACTCGCACTAGTTATTTACTTTCAATGCGTTACTTTCATCCATTTCTTCCTGTCATCGTTTGGCAATGTGTCCATTTTTGGAGTAGCTCAAATATTTTGATACAGTTTCTTTCACTTTGTGTTTTGTCGTATTTTCATTAGCTTTGCTGAAGAGATAGACTTTCTTTTTTTTTTGTCTGTGTGTTGCTTCAATTTTAAGCCACTCTATTGTTTTGTTGGTTTGCTATTGCTTGAACTAGGCGCTGGTCATTACCAAACTTGATGTTTTCGCATTAACGCAAGTCGTTTTAATTTCGAACATTTGCTTTCTGCTCTCTTCGTTCACAGTGAATATGGATTGCTTATACAAATATGCTTCGCACATACATCCGTGCGCCCGCCGTTTGGTTTTTTTTTTTAAACAAAAGTACTAATTGTTTAATATTCCGTTTGTCAACTGAAAAACAGCACCAGTCTTCTTGGTACCTGTGCCGCGTTGCTGTGCATTGTTTGTTGTGGTGATGTTGATTAATGATCATGAAACGTCCGAAAAATGTTTCGTTTACTCTTCTATAAACGGCAACAATCAAATCAATGTGTATTATTCTCTACTTTTGGGATCGTTTTCTTTGTCTCTATCTCGCTCTTGTTATTTTTCTTTTCTGCTCTCATTTTTCTCATTTTGTATTTTCTTTGCCGTCAACGTCTCACTATTTCATTATTTTATACTGCTTATTTTAAGCATTTAGCTTAAAATTCAAATTACTCCTGCGCATCGTTTACCTCTTTTGTTCAACACAATTTTTCTCAAATATTCTTTATACCGATGTTGTTATTGTTGTCGTTGTCGATGTCGCCATCGCTGCGCTGTTGAATTTTCTTCATTTATGCCGTGCAGCCTTGTTTTTTTTTAAACCTACAATTCCATGTTATTCAACATCTAAATTTAGTTGTATTGACTGTGTTTACATATGCTTTTACGTGCTTCAACACATATAATAATCAAGTCCACACATGTGAACGTTCGGTTGCATCGCGTAACATTCACATTTATATGCAACATCAATTCATCCAGCTCAGCATTAAACAAACATCGAAGATCAAGTAGATGTGATATAAAGAAAATAAGAAAAAAATTGCCCCAAACATCAGAGCAAAAATTCATAAAAATAACATTCCAAAACAATAAAAGGCCAATCAACAAATGGAACAGGAGACGATTTTCTATTTGATTTTTATTTTCGATCCATTTAAAAATGATAAAATATCCAATGAATATGCTCGAGATGAATGTTTGTTTTATGTGTGCGTATACATTGGATACACTGAAGCCGATAGAAAATGCATTTGTGTATGTGGGCGTACGTAGTGGTGTGTATCACACAGACGGTGACGGCATTTGAATGAGATGAGTGCGACTAGAAGAATAATTGGGTGTGAGAAATACATTACAATTGCACACATGTGTACAAACACAAAGCAATAGACTGGATTTTCGTTTCATGTAGTGTAGAAATGCTCGGGGCCACAAACACATGTGTTTTGTTGTTATGCGACTGAAAAGTCACTTGGTAATGCGCGCTATGCTCTGCGAAATGTATATATATACAATGTATATTTATATACAAAAGTATCATGTATGCGATATGTGAGCTTGCATTCAACAGTGTATTTCTGTTTTTCCACTTGGCTCTTATGCTTCTAAGTTCGGACGTTTTTTTCTCTCTCTCCTTTTTCGACACATGTGTTCCTGAAACAACAAACCATCCGAGATGAGGCATCCCGTTTAGATGTATTCTATAAAGATACACGGGACAAATAGTCGAATGGAGGACACATACAAAGGCAACACAATAACATCAACGGAATTAACATAAGCAACAAAACGAACGCCACTTCACAATATACTCTCGCTCACTTACACACAACCAAAGTAGATGAGAGAAGAAAAAAAAATACGTTCTTCGATTTTTATTTTTAGTTTATTTTCCTCACATTCACTGAGTCTAAACACCAATTTTCTTTTCCCGATTCATTTGTTTTACATCCATCTACATTTCTTTCTGTTACTGAATTGCCGGGTTTTATGTATATCGCCGTTGGCTTATATATCATTTACCGTAATTTCTCATAGTATAATTTACAATATAATATATTCATACAGAGACAGACACTGCGACACAGCATTTTGAGACTGTTTGCTCTTACCAAAGCCGATTAATTTATGTTTCGGTACATGTTATGGTTTTTTATACATCAAGACGTCATATCGTACAAATACACGAATCTTGTCGATTCACTGTAGAGAATAGTGCACAGAGAAAAATGACTGATAAATTCCATCATATACGTAATGCAATAGTGGCATACAAACTGTCCATACATATCGTTTGTGGATCCAGTATATAACAATTCACAAAATGACACAAAAATGTTCACAGCATTTTTTTTACACTTTTATTATCGTAATTTCATTTTAAAAAAGAAGAAGAAGAAGAAGAAGAAAAAGAAGAAAGATGAAAAAAGATTTTCGCATAAAAATGTAAAAATGTTTCATATATCTCTCTTTCGCTCTCTTTTTCTGTCTCACGCGCGCGCCTCTTCTCTGTGTGCCATATGTTTACGTATGAATCACAAAAAGTGTTCCAAAAGTCCGTCAAAATGACGAAAATAAGACAGCACGATCAATAAAAAGCCAAACACGCAAAATCTTCACTTCACATGCTCGAATCGCGCACTGAATAGAAATTTGAATGAAGCAAGCAGTAGAAATAGTATAAATACAAAGGTAGCGGTAAGAAGATTGCTGTTTGTTTCTCTCTCTCCCTTTTGCTCTCTCTCTGTTGAAATCAATAGAATGAGAAAAGCACAAAAACACCTTCTGATGTCATTCCATTATTCGCATAAATAATGTATTCCATTTTTGCCATAAGCCAGTCATTCATAAATAGATGGAGAATTCAAATATAGCAAATGAAAAAAAAAACCTCAACGATGTAGGTATAAATGTGAGTAAAGTTGGTTTTAAAAAAACCTCAATAGCAGGCAGTTGGTTTATGTGGGCGGTATTAATTCAAATCCAATCGAGATACTTGATTTTAACGCCGCTTTATTCAATGAAACGTAACGCAATGAAATGCAAGATTCAATCGATGTTTTGATGTCATCAATTTTCTTTTCACTTAGCTCCATGAATAAATGTCTGAAAAGTGTCGGCCGAAGAATAAAATCTGTAAGGGCCATATGAATATATTTTCAAATACAAACGACCGTTAGCTGCTCAGTTATGGCCTACACATATCCATGCTCTTTGTGTATTCATGAAAAGTGTTCTTCTTCTTGGTATGCGAGTAATTTGTGGCCAAAAACAAAAGCCACGAAAACCAAATGAATACGTTTAAAATTCATGCTAGCGTAAAGATGGATCCAAACACACGCACACAAACACCATTATTCGAGTGTCGTTCCACATATTTAAATATGAATCAGATTTATTCAGTGAAAATGAAAATAAAGACTAACAAAGTAGAAGTAGCAAATGATGCGTTGGTGTTTTTAATCATTTAACCATAGGTCAAAATCAAAATGTTGAAAAACAATTTTTGGCGCACCATAATTTCATCGCACATGTTGAAATTAATCGAAAAATCATCGATTTCATTTAGTTTTTGTTCAGATATTAATAAAAATCCATTGAAATCGTGTCTTCAATATGCAATTTTCATTTCAGTTGAAACCATGGGTTGCATACAATTATGACAATGTTAAAATATAGAAAGCCAACACTTTGTAAAGTGCTTGGAGAACACATAAATTTTGTTTGTTCGCCAAATTTGTTATGAACAGTTTTTTTTTTTTTGGTCCGATTTCATTTTGTTGGTCATTATTTTTGGAATATGTAAGTGAAATGACCATGTGTTTGCACAATCAATGATTTGTGTGCAAGAGAAAATTGTTGTTGTTGAAATTATTTACTGGAAATATGTAGCGCAAGTCTGAATAGTTCTTAATCTGTGTGGGGAAAGGCAACGAGATTTGAATTCAGTGATTTCGTTGTGCGCATGCGATCATCGATGATCGAACTACTTGCCAAGCATCGATATATGAGTATGTGTTACTTTGTATTTGCGGTGGTCACATATATGGCACAGCGCACATTGGAGATCACTGTTTTAAAAATACCGTCACTGCCGTCGCCGACATGCATAGTAAATGGAAAAACGTACACACATTCAACATATAGATATAGATATATATATATATATATATCTTTTTTATCCTCCTTCTTCTTTTTCATTTCTTCATTTCATTTTGTTTCGTTTCGTTTCGTCTTTTCAATAAAATGGAATCAATGCCAGATGATATTTTCACGCAAAATTTTCATTGCAACTGATTTCAACTCGATTGCGTAAATAGAATTTTCCATTTTATTTTCCGTAAAATAACCATTTTCTTTTTATTTGATTCGAATATCTTGATCCGATTCGTTGTAATTGCGTAAAAATATGTTCGGATGGTGTATTTTAATCGATGCGCCTGTTACTGTTGCTCTCAAGTTGTTTGGCATGTTTATTAATTTGTCATGTAATTTAAGAAATTTCGATTTCGTGAACGTCATCGTATGGAGATCTTTCTCACCGTTTTTTTTTTACTACGGAAGAATGAAAAATTATCACTTACATAGCCCCGTAGTCGGCTCAAACTGGCATAACGAGACAAAAATGTTGATGTACAGATATTATTATATACTCAATTTTCGTTTCATCGGAACAGAAAAGAAAATTCGTTTGGCCCAATTAAAAACTTCATTCCAGTCGCTCTTCATTTCCATATATTATTTGAGTACATCGCGTGTATTGTTCATAACTTATGCAGTTTCCTATATTTGTGGAAACATTTGAGGTAAGCAACTCACCGTGAGCTAGAGTAAAGAGAAGAAAACACTTGAAACGAACGAAAAAAACCACATAATAAATGTAATATTTATTTCTTAAGTGAGAAAGCCGGATTTGATTTACAGGACCCAATTTGGATGAAAGCCAAAACAGTTAAACGACCAAAATAAATGAAAAACGAAAACAAATAAACAAACACGATATTTTTCACACTGTTGGAATGAATTTTTGCAACACAAGTTCACTGCATGGAGTGAATTCGGTACATGAATGAAAAAAAAAAATGGATCATCTAAATACAATTAAAAAGAACTCGAATAATTTACATATTGTTGCTTTTTTTAAAATCCAGCATGGAAATTAGATTATTATATTGATACATGCATACATAGACAATGAATAAGTTGAAATTCACAAGGCGAATGTGCGTTTCAATTAATTTATTTAACAAATTGCAAATGATTTCAATTTACAGAAATGTACTTGTAATGAATCAACGAGATGATTATTGGCACTTTAGAAAAGAAAATTCCATACAAACTTTCGGAATCAATGCCAAATAGTCGATCAAATTCTATCATCATATTAAAATGATCAAAAGCTGTTGTATGGCACCGATTTAAAGATCGCCATATGTCAATAAGATTTTTGAATTTTGACCGAGCTTTTTTACCGAACACTTCCGAAAAAATTGTATATAGTACCGCGTATAATTACATTATAATTCTCTTTCAAAAACCATAATGAAATAATTAAAGTCTAAGAAATCTATGTTCTTGAATGAATTAATTCATTCAGATGGGGGTGGGAACTTATATATATAAAAGCCACACATATACACATTAAAGAAATGAGAACACATGCAAGATGATTGAAAATCGAAAGAAAAATAAGACAAAAATGGCAGCACGAACGAGCAAAAATCATATTGCTTGCTGTTTGATATGCATGGAACCTATATAAACGTGGTAATTAAAAATATTGTTGCTCCGCGTGCAATGACGTATGCGTACACTTGCTGCCAAAGTAAAGAGCGCAAGAGGCAGAAAGAGAGAGAGATATCAAGAAGAAGAAGAAAACATCAACATTCTAACGAAATTTTGTTTGTGCGCCATCTGATATGCTTAACACATCTGTGTGTTGAACAAAAAGCGGCAGTCAGCTAGTAAAACACAATGATTTAATTCATTATACAATTGTAATCCAACAATCCAGTGAGTTACGTATTTAACAATACTTGAACCGCGTAATGCATCGCCATCACAACATTGGCAGCAATAGTCAACGTAACAACGTCTAATATGGAGAATAACGAAATGCTTGTTTAATGATTTAATTTATTACACAAAGATTTTAATAAATTCTTATCTTTTACTGTGAATTTCTCATAATTAATGTCTGAATTTAGCGATATAAATATGGTTTTTCTTTTAATGTGCGCGCGTTTAGTTTTTATCTCGCTCTAACTACTTCTGTACAATGGCTCAATTTGAAAATTCTCTTCTCTCCCCTTCTCTCTCACTCACGCTTTGTGCTTTTTTTTCTCTCCTCACGCAGCTAAATTAAAGAATGCAAATCGTGTTTTGCGATTATTTTAGCTATGTTAGAACACGAAGGGAAGTAAATTGATATAAAAAAAAACTGGTAACATTTTTTTCCTCTAAATAGCCGCTGGATCTTTTCGCGTAGTTTTTTTTGGCTGTAACTGACGTTTTTTCTCGTTGTTTTTAAAATATTTAATGGAATTTCGAATTGTGGGTAGTACAGAGTGTGCGTTCCATTTTAGCGTATGGCAGTTTAATTTTGATTGATCACTATCATTGAAAACCGTTTGTCTCACTTGAAATGAGCTTAAGAGATTTATTTTGCCGATTTTGATGCTGTAAAATGTAGTGTGCCATTTGTATTTTAAACTGGAATTGGATAACAAATGGCTGATTAGCGAGATGTGCGTATGATAGTGTGCAAACGACATAATTCATGCCATACAAACTTGTTTTCAACTAAATCGCTCAATTTTTTCTCATTTTTTTTATCATTTTCTTTTTCTTCTTTTGATTCATAATCTATCCGTAAATGATAATTACATATTCGTTTTTATCTTAATATGAATCATGTGATCTAAGCCCAAATCCAAATCAACTTGTATACGTCTTGACTATGTATGTTAGTTTCATAAATTGTTTACCCAAAAATGGGTGCATACATTGAGAATAGGTCAATATTTTCAATTCTCTAGTCGAGTTTGTTTGTAAAATTGTTTTCCGGAATCGAATTAACGTTTTGATGCCATTTCCAATCGATAAAATTGTACATCGGGCCTGATGTTATGATCATCGCTATTTTTGGTAACTTGTTTTCTATATCGTTTTCACTTATCTCTAACATTTGCAAAGTATTGGAATATTCAGCGCATTCTGGACGGTGATGCAAGATGGTGCACTCTCAGTAGCCATCATCTTTCATATATATATATGTGTGTCTGCGCACACAGGAAGAAAACCTCAATCCAGTCATAGAATTTATTTATGTGACATTTGTGGGTTGATTGCAATACACATAATTGTCTTGAAGTTTTTTATTTACCTCTATATTCATTACATTTCATTTTCGCTGAAATGCTCCAAATGGCTTCTCATTGTATTGCATGCCTCTATTTTATTTTCATCGCTCGGATGATACATTTGTTGGCAAATGTATCGTTTCATTTTTGTAAAGAGGTAGAGAAAAAAAAACAGTGCATGCAACTTATTCACCATTTGCCGATGTTTATTAGCCAATACTTAATATGAGTTTTATGTTCCGGATGTTTAGTATTCCTTTTATAGAATGAAGCGCAAAACTGAAATGAACAGATGAAATAACATAATATACAATGCGACAGAAACAGAAACGATACATTCAAATTCGAATGAATAAAGACTTAACACATAAATTAGTTACGCGCCTTCATGAAAAGCTGCCCACAAACCCAACGATGAATGAAAAAAAAATTGTGTACGTGTTAAAAAACACACACACACACCGTTTATTGATTGGTATTTTGTTGAACTGTCCGATTTGTCAGGAGTGCGAGAAACAAAGAGAAACACAATATCCGCAGCATTTATTCGAATTTCAAGCCATCAGTAGGTCGTGGCCCCATGTATTTGTGTATGATTCTTCAAACTCTATAATTTTACATATTACATTATTAACATGTGTGCAGTGTGCTGATTTAATTTGCACTGCTTCACAACACTAAATCATCGAATTGAGAATTGAGATCAATGAATGCAACCGCAAAATTAATGACTATCGAATCGATGTCGTGTTAAGCAATTGTCTTTATTTGGCATTGAAAAGGTCGCTGATCAATAGATTATTACTCCACTAAGCATTGACTCTTTTTCCACGCTTTGGTGTTATTTCATTCGGTCTTATATCAAATGTAAACTATCAAATAAATATAAGTATGACGTGTTAATTTTTCATTCATCCTTAGTATAGATTCTATACCTTTAGTTTTAATTTAAATAATTTATTGAATAATAATAATCGAAATAATTTATTAATTGATTGTTTTTTTCGTTTTTTCAATAGAAATCGCCAAAGTTAGAGCATCGCTATTTCAAATAAATGGTGTTAAAAAGGAACCATTGAAGCTACCTGAACCAGATGGAACTCCAGTTACTTTAAACGAAAAAGTTTATGTGCCAGTTAGAGAACACCCAGATGTAAGTAGAAAAATGCACTTAATTGTTTTTAATTGGACCGCATAGACAGATTTGGACATGTGATTCACCATCAAACAGGTCGACATGTGTCGAATGTGTTTGCATAAATACTCAAAATCAATTAGATAGGTTTGTCTCTGAATGTGTACAAAATGTTCAAATGAAGCACAAGATTGAATTGCTGCACGTGTAATTACATACACAATATGTTTTCTTCTAATAGCGTGGTACTTGTAGCAAAAGACAATGAGAAAAAAAAATATGTTAAATTTTTTGAAATCTCTTGCGAAAACCTCCTCAAAAAAAATTAAGTTGTTTTCTATGTTTAAGTTTGAACATTGTCGCTGATTTCTCTCTCTCTCTCTCTCTCTCTCTCTCTCACTCACTCTTGATCTCGCTTAATCCATTTTTGTCGCGAACCAAACTTCAATGCATACAATTTGAAATTTGTGGCGACACAATCGAATGTAAACACTATTTCAAAGGAATGTTTTTTTTTTTGTAATGAATGTCTGTCTCTCAATTTTTTTTTGTTGAATTCATTTTTTTAATTCATTCGGTCCATGGTGAATACTTGGCATTACCTTAAACGGAAAATGTGTGGATGGTTGAATAAGAAAAAGAAGAAATTTATTTGAGCCCACGCTACAGCTTTTAATATATCCAAAACGAGTTATTCTGTTCGTCAATCAAGGGAAGCAAATGATTTAAATGTGAAATAGTGAAGAGAAAAAGAGACAAAAAAGGACAAACACAAAAAATTAATAATAATCATTACCATGCCTAATATGCGTTCGATGTTTATTGCGTTTATTCGGGATGGTATACCCAATTTGGTGATATGAAACCGTTCACAGTGGAAACATGAAGCAACAGCTCAATGATCAGTCGCGACGAACGCAGATGGAATCACATTAAATTTGCTCTTCTTACAAAAAGCCCATAATGCGGCGAATCATGTCGATTTCTTCTCATCGTGGATTGCATCATCAGTAGAAATGATCTCTTCTTGATTTCTTTTTTTTTGTTACGCTTAGCGCTGAACGTCTATCTATCACCAAAATTGGTAAATCGTACAACATTCATGCAACTCATTTATTAAACAGAAGAAAAAATCGTTTTCATTGTAGAGGAGAAAAAAAAAGCATGGGTCAACACATTTCACTAGATTGTTTTATTGCACCACAATGGGAAATACATTGTTACATTGTAAAAATGTGAGATATTTTTATTTATAGAAAAAGCAATACATTGAATGCAACAGATTTTATGAATTAAAATTAAATTAATTCTTTGTAGTATCCATTGTTTGTTCCATTGTCTTTTCCACTTCGGACTTATGATAAATGGCGGTTTCGATGTATTTCATATTTGGTGTATACCAAATTGTTTCGTCGATTTCTCGGTCCAATGGAAAGCCCAATGGTCGTGCATCGATATCACGACGACAATTGCTCGAACTAAACCAATCCTTTTGGATGACCCATGTGCTAGGTGAACGGTATTCAGTTATAATAACAAACAATTGAACAGCAAATCCAGTCCTTGTGCCCTTTATGAATTATAAATAAAGTGATATTTAACTTATGGCGCCTCACATCGTTTAATATAAATTATTACCTTTGGCAACATCAAACGTTGTGGAAAACCGCATGTTGTTCGGCTAAAATTAGGTGGCAAACTTCCGTCACCACTTTTAGCCATCATCACCGTTTTATACAGATCAAAATATGTAGTACGATCATTTGAATAAAATTTAAAATGAATACTGTTGCGTGTAAGGATTGTACGGCCTGCCGTCAAGCCAACCACATATTTATCAATTTCGTAAAAGTTTTCACGATTTTCGTTGATGTCAATTTCATTTCCAGCTTCATCAAACTTTGGCCCCAGGAATACTTTAACCGATGCTTTTTGTGCCTTTTGCGATGTTACATTTAATGTCAGTGTAAATGGTGAATGATTTAAACGCCATTGTCTTGCTTTTATTACCAAATCGTCACCATATTTATTTGGTTTTTTACCTTTGGTGGGTGTCGTCATTGGTTCAATATCGACTGCATTCGTAATGTCTGAATCAAATGTGTCGAAATAAGTGACTAATCGATCCAAATTAACACTTTCGATTTGAACGCCTTCAAAACCAATATCCTCTTCTTTGTATGGTTCAAGTTTAGTCTTCCATTGTAAATAATAACGAATCAAACGACCGTATAATTGATAAAATGCTGGATCACGCAAACTTGTTTCAAAATGTTCCAAAACACTTGGCAAATAATCATCGGTGCTGTAATTATCAATGGCTGTTCCCAAAAGTGTGCGACCCAAGACTTCTAATAAACCAAAAAATTTACCATCATTTTTGTATGGTGTATATTTGTATAAATCGGCAAAGAGTTCAACATTTTCCGGTTTACTGATGTCAATAACGGTACCATTTGGCAATGTATAGAGACGATGATCAATGGCAAATTTAACGCGATTTTCCAAACCTTCGAGCTTTTCAATTGAATAATATGTATCTTCGTTGTATGTGCTATAGAAGTTGTTACGCACTGGAAATGATGATCCTTTATAATAAGCAAGCGCTGGATTGTATCCGGTACGGAATGGTACGCGCCATGAAAATTGTGGAATTTTACCCATATCATTTGAAAGACGTTCCAAATAATAACGAGCCAAAAGCTGTGAATGTGTATGCAAATACACTTCACCACGTCGATTTTTGAATATTGAATCTTTGCTATCAATCCAAAATGGATAATCGGCATGGAAATAGAAGTACCATGCATTCAAACCAATATCTTCTGTGAAATATGATAATTTTTGTTCTGGATTTGATCGCTTATTCCATCCAGTATAATTCGATTGAATGATTAGCTCGGCTGTTTGCCCGACGACTTTTTTGCTTTTTGGAAATCCTTGCATTTTACTAGTTTGTGCCTCTTGAATTGTTTCCGCATTGAAGAAATAGTATGGATAAATTTCATATGGTGCTGGTAAAACGATTCCTTCTAAGTCGGGATGATGTAAAATTGCAACGGTTGACGCATAAATGAATACACCTTCATTCACATGGAAACGAGCCCAAACTAAAACATCGTAAAATGTATTCCAGTTTTCGGCTTCATGCAACAAACGAAATAGTGCAATTGCTTCTTCAATGTGTGACTTTTTCAACACCGAAAACTCTTCGCCACGTGGCAATAGTCCGATTTCTTGTCGTTTCACAAACTTATTCACAATTGCTGCATCCTCGTACCATTCGCCCAATGTTGTAAAATTCAATTTTAATGAATCAGCATATAATTTATTTTGTGTGTCATTTTGATGCACATGTTGGAAGACATCAAGGATCACCTCTTGTTTATATAAGAAATTTTTCAATTCAATTGATTTTGGATCGAATTTTGCGGGTTTTACTGGTAGTTTTGCATTTATTTGTACAAAAGCACCAGCTAATATCACTAACAGCACCAACAATCTCATTTTGTTCACACTAACTGAAGTTAAATCATACTGAAAATGTTCTTTTATAGTGTTCTTTATCGCTGTTCCAGAGCCACACAAAATCTTATTTCATTTCATCTAATGAAATTTGATGATAACCTCAGTCAAAAACAAAATGTGTTATTTATTTGTATTTGAAAAACATCAGTGGCAAAACATCATTATCAATGTCATTGCCATGTTAAATAGTAAACTTAAATCCCATCCACACGCATCCACAGTACAATGTTGTTGTCAATTAGAAATATCATTTTTGTTTCTGGATTTTTTTTTGAAGATCGCACAGTTAATAAATACAGTCACTTTAGTCACGTCAGGGTTATCTTCTGTGCATAAAATCAATTTCTTATTTTTAGCCTTTCAAACTGTTTCTAACATGTAAACACTGTAAATTGTGTTTTTTTTAATCTTCAAATTCAATCCAGTGATACCGAAATTGTTTACTTTAGTACAATTTAAATTGGATGGTAGACTTTCTAAATAATAATAATCCAATGTATTTTATTCTACTACGTGACCACACTAATGTCATCAGCATGTCGATTGCATTATCAAATAATGGAAAAGTTTGATTTTTTCTGATTCGAAAACAAAAAAAAAAAAATCTTAACTTTTTTCATGTGATCAACAGTGATATTTAATCTATCATAAAGATTTGCTCTATTTTCATTGGCCAATTTTTCAATTATTTTAATGAAATAATTAATAGACGCACTGCGGTTTTATTTATACTTTGACTTTGTGGTGGATGAATCACCTCTCAATTAATCAACACATAAAAGAAATATTGAAATTGGCTTTAATTCAGCTCATAAAGTGATATCACGGGTCCATAATGCATATTTTTTAAAAAAATTACTTCATGAAATACGTCGGAAAAAGTCAACAAATAGTATCGAGTCGACATCTCAAAATTCGATTTTACCCGCGTGAAAGTAATAGTTTGTAACAGTGTTTTTCTCTCAGTTTCTATACTTGAAAGAGAAAAGATATTTCAGCTGAAAAGCACGTCCGTTCACGGTAAACTCATAAAAATTGCTTTGATCCCATTGCGTTGGTTATTTTTGGATAAAAACGTAATCGTACACATTCACAGAGAATATAGTCGTTTGCGCTTCGTTAAATAGTTTTGCCTGGCCAGAGGGCTGATAATTTTAAAAGAAAAGCGACACCTTCTTTTTGGCTTTTTCATTTCGCTTGCGATGTGAAACGTTTGACATGATGACGACAAAATTGACGTTGTTATTTTGAAAAGAAACAAAAATATGAAGAAACAAAAACGTGAAATGTGACAAAAAAAATATGAAATTTTGACTTATAGATAGAAATGAGAACGAAACCTATATTCGCTTCGGACATATTTACGATTCCGAAATGCTTATTTCGCCGCACCAGTAAAAAATTGAAAATGAAAGAAGAAAAAGTAGTAGAAAAAAAAACACAATAAGCAACGAAACGTAAGCGAATACAGCTTAATTAGCGTATTAAGTCAGTCAGTGCAATTTTGCCATTTATTTAAACATTCGCTGCTTAAATTTTTTGCTTGATTTTATTTTATTTTAATTCATTTGTGTTTCTTTTGCATTTTGTATGCTTATGCGTCGTGAATTCTCTCTCGCTGTATTTTTATAATGTTTCTATAATTTGGTTGAAAAACATTGTGATTATTGCATTGCCATACACCATAAATTACATCACATGGTAAGCACACACAATGCGTCCGTGTGTATCGGCAGAAAAAGTGAGGTCTGGCTTCCAATTATATGGTGTGCACATAAAGCACAAGGTGTGGCAGTTCCATTTCAAGCCCATTTCAATGCTGAACTAATTTCGGATGAATTGTCTTTGATTTTCAATTCAATCAATAATTTCCTTTTGTTGTCAATTTTCGCCCGTATTATACGCCTTTATGTGCGTGCATGCATGTATTTGTAGTAAATACATTTGTAATGGCTGACGATATTAACTATCATTATATTGGCTAATGCTCTTTGTCAATACAAATTGTCTTTGCCGTTTTTTTTTTAATAAAATCAAAACTATACACACCTTCCTTCTTATAAACCAAAAATCTTCGGATCAAATTAAAAGTTAAATGAAAAGAATGAAATGGTTGATTGCTGCTATCAATCGATGGTGTCTATCATCAATCCCAAGTGTATGAGATGTATGGGATTATTGATTTAAAAATGGTTTCCGCTTATTTTATAATTACAATGAGAAATGATCGCTGCACATGCAGATCCGTAAATTGCGTTTGAATTAGTTTTAGCGATTCGCTTTGCTCACAATTTGAAAATTTCACGAGTTTTCATGTGAAACAAACAAATTTCGAAATGAATGGTATTAAAATAGCTTCGAGAAAAAAAAATTGATTTTAGAGAAGTTGTTTAAAATCTAACACATCTATGTATTCATGTGAATCAACATTCTTGAATTTGTTTATTCGCCCGAGATTTTATTGAAACATTTTCTCATCACGTAATGTTTTCATTTTATTTATTACAGTTGGAACTAGAATGATTGCATTAGCTTTAAGATTTGTGATCGAATAATTTTTATTTAACTTATATTTTTCTGACAATTTTAATGTTTCGTCTACAATTTGTTCGCAGAAATATTCTCAAACTTATATTCTTTTATTTATTTTCAGTTTAATTTTGTCGGACGAATTCTCGGCCCAAGAGGTATGACAGCCAAACAGCTAGAACAGGAAACCGGCTGTAAAATTATGGTCAGAGGCAAAGGATCAATGCGGGATAAGAAAAAGGTGAGTTCATTAAAACTATGGATGTTTAACTTGTGTTCACGTAAATTATTTGAAAATGTAAGAACTTACTGAAACGAATGTAATAAAAAAATTAAAAAATATGTCTTTGATCTATTTTTTTGCGTCGATTGAAGATAGCATGGAAATGCTGTTTGTAGCGCGCCTTTTTCTCATTACTCAATCTCAATCTTGCTCATTTTCACGATCATCAAAAACTCTGTCACTTTTGATTAATCAATTTCACATTTATTTTAAGCCATTTCGACATTCGAAACGATAGTGTCGAGCATAAAGTCGACATCGTGTGTCAAATTCTGTGTCGTTCAATATGTTTTCGGTATCATTAGACCGGCAATGGTATAAAAAGAAATGCAACAACAACGATGACACGAGAGAGCGAGAGAGAGAGAGAGAGAAAGAAACAATGATGACAAAAACATGATGTGATCTGATCATATGAATTAGTCAATTCTACCGTAGATTGGTTGGCACTTACGTATGTCATAGTACACCGATCATGTTAACTTGTTTGTGTTGTGTGCAAGCATTGAAAATAACACCATCATCGCATGTTATATTTAGCCAAAAAAAAAAACTATATATATAATTATGGATTCGTATATAACACGGAGAAAGAGTGTCTGTAGAATATTTATTGATGTTTTCACATTTTTGTCAACTTCCTCAAAGATGTTCGTACAAATTATTCTAATCTAGGGGCTTTTATGATACAAAATATACACAAATATTCACAATATACGCGTCTTATTCATCATAAATGCGAATTAATATGGCATAAATGTGCACCGAATTATACGTATTTTATACTGACATTGTACAGTGTACAATTGTACACACACATTCGAAGGAAGACCGCACAAAAGAGAATGAAAAAATATGCCATACAAGAAATATATACGAAATATATGCGAAATATACGCCAAATATGTGCAGTTATACACATTTATTTGCGCATTTTCTAGATATGCGGCATTATATTTCAATATTTGCCTTAAAAGTAGTATACGTTTGAACATAAAAGCCCCTAGATTCTAATACTCCGGACTCCTTCTTTATTTACTCCGTTAAAATTTAATCAATATTCGAAATAAAATGTCGAGATTTAGTTGAATTATATTTAAATGAAGTCTGAGATATTTCCCAAACAGACCACAACAAACTCCTCAAAGTGTCCACATTATATATTGTAGATGATTATATACAGATATGTTTTTCAAACATATTTTCATCTTCTTTTTTTTAAAACAAAATTTATTTCATACCTGCTGCTTTCACAATCTATTTCATCACGATCAACCAAAAGTGATGACCCATTTGAAAATGATTGCTGAAGCATCTATCCACTACAAAAAATATATCGTATATCAGTAGTAGAACAGTCATCGAAATACTATCTGAAGGATTCTCGACACTGCCGACTCATATGTTTATTTTGCGCTACATTTTTGTTTGCCAGTCGGTAGTCGCTGTTCTTTTATGTTCTCTTCTTCTTCTCCTCTTCACATAATTTCGTTTGGTTTTGTTTCATCATGTATATTTTCTATTCGATTGTTTGTTGTGATAAGATAATTTGATTGTTGTACACAATACCTTCAAGATGAAAGTATGACAATCGTAAACGCAGTGATCAACATCAAGTTGTAGCGGAAAAATTGTCACTTTATGATGTGATGATGCGATGTAAACCTTATCCAAATTTGACATGTTTTCCACGACGATCATTTTGTGGCAGTTATTTTTAACAAATCCAATGGCACAAAATAATGTGAAATGGATGCCAAAACCATGAAAAACGACAATTTCAAACTAAGTTCAGTGCTGTAAAAATATATTAATTTCGATGTGCGTTGATTGATATGTGTTCGAATTAGGCAACGGATGAGTCTATTTTCCTTTTAATTTAAAATGTTGTTCATTCGATTGGCGAAAAGAACAACCACATACATTATCGTTCATTTATTGTTGAAAAAAAAAATGTTTGCATTGAATAAATCGCTACATTTTGTTATTGTTTGTAAATTTCTAGGAGGACGCAAATCGCGGAAAGCCAAATTGGGAACATCTATCCGATGAATTACATGTTCTAATCACCGTTGAAGATACGGAAAATCGTGCGCATATCAAGCTAGAACGTGCCGTCGAAGAAGTTAAAAAGCTCTTGGTACCCGTAAGTACATGCACATACTATTTTCAAATTCGATTATTTTTCATTAGGTGTTAAAGAATTATATTGCATTCAAATCAAAAATACTTGCGCTCGATCAAACAAAAATGATCTGTCATGCGTTTATTTCATATGATTTGAGTATATGTAAATCAAACGATTACTAAATTATAGCAAGCTGAAGGTGAAGACGAGCTCAAGAAAAGACAGCTAATGGAATTGGCTATAATTAACGGTACTTACAGAGACTCAAGTACGAAAATATCAACAACAGGTAAATGAATTGAAATGGTCCAAAAACTATTTGGAAAATGAACATTGAGTTGAGCCCAAAAATAGGAACCGTGTGTATGCACACACGAACATTTAAATCGTTTTATAGCATTCACAGAGAGAATCGTCAAGAAATGAAGCCAGCATTTGAGAGTGCATTAGTGCACACGCGCATCATGCGTACAATGTGATATCCGCATGTACGGATTGTTGCGTGCATTGAACCTTTCATCACACACACACAATCTATTTTCGTTCTATTTTACAAATGGAAATCGTCCAGGATTGTTGTTGATCTGTGGCCCATGCCAGTGCTTTCATTTTGTTTTTCTCCGCTCATTTTCCGCTTGATTTATTTGTATATATTACGATACGAAAGAATTCGTTCGCTCTAAATTTCATTAAATTTATTTTACTAATCTGTGAGAAATTTAAAATAAAATAAATAGGCGTCAAATTTGATCGCAAACAAAATGATGCAATCGCCAGCGTCAAACTAAACCTGAGCACTTAAGCAGAGGGCGTAGGCCATATAAACAAATTCTCGGCAACAATTCAACAATTTAATATTATGATACCATTATTGAAATCCACTTAAAGAACGATACAAAATACCAATTTAATGGCAGGATTTTGTGTATGCACTATGCACACGGTGGCTCAATTCAATTAGTTATGCAGTAAAGGGACCTATCCTAATTGTTATTATTATTATTTTTTGAACGAAAATCATTATCAGATTCACATATTTTGGCATGTGAAGAAGAATGGCGACGTTTGGCACAATCGGCTGCCGAATCGCGTTTATTGTCGCCAGGCATGCAGGGTATTACAGCTCAACAGTTACGTTCGCAAACCACTCCACTTGGAGCGCCATTAATTTTATCGCCCCGCATGTCAGTGCCAACAACTGCAGCCAGTCTCTTATCCGCATCAGCGCCACCAACAATAGAGCATCCAGGATTAATTTATGCCACACCGTACGGAGATTACACAAACTATGCAGCATTGACTGGAAATCCTCTATTAACGGAATATGCAGATCATAGCGGTGGGTTATTTGCTAGATAAACTAATTTCACACATACACAAAAAATTAAATTAAAACACAAAATAAACAACCTTTTACGCTCTCAAGAGTCTAAAAAAACACACAGTAAATTCTTTAAATAATTAATTACTTTTAATAATCATAACGATTTAAAAAAAAAATTAGTTGAATTACATTTAATAATACTCAGTTATTCAGTCTTCTATCTTTTATGATGCATTTGAACAAAAATAAAAATCAAACAAACTCGCAACCGACACACAACATTTCACTACTGATGCATAAATGATACAGCAAATTTGATTGAGTACTGTTTCGCCTGCCAATGAAGTCGAACGAAAGAAACAATCATTTGTTAATATGTTTCTTCTTCAAATTAGTTATAGCAGGCATATAGCGGTATGCACTAAACAGACTATCATTTCAATTTTTCACTTTAATATTTTTTTTAATGTTTCAGTCCATTTTCTGTACAAAAAACTATAAAAAAACTGTTTGTGATGCATGTATCAATGAACATACTTTTCTCACTAGTGAATGAATTCATGAAAATAAAGCAAGAGCAAAACGAGTCAATCATTTCAATTTGAAAACATTTTGAACAAAAACTTTTCATAAATTTCATTCTAAATTCTATGCCAGAAAACATATGATGCATGACCTTTTTTAGAATTTGTTATTTAGACACATCGGAAAGAATGAAAAACTGTACAAAAAAACAAACAAACAAATATATATTCGAATCAATTGATTTGGTCATTGTTTAATCGAAATGCCGAAATTGGCCTCGTTCGCATCGTTTTCGATCTATTTATTAGCCGTTGTACTAAAACGCCTCATTGTAATTTATTTGATTATCGAGATGGTAGAACAGTATTATTTAAAAAAAATGTTTAATTAATTTATAATCGATTGCAATTTGGTGTGTCTCCGGTTAATATGTACAATGTTAACACCGAAGTGCGTGTGTATGCTTAATTTTGATAAAAATAACATGTTTTTTTTATTTCATTGCTATTCGAAAGCTATTCCGACGAATTGTACGGGTGTTATTATTATTATTACGATTATTTTTGTTTGTTTTGAGAAGTTTCTCAATCGAAACCCGAATCATTCCCGAAACCCATAACATTATTCTAATACCATATCATTTTTCTGCCCGTTACATATGCTCAAACAGCACAGTGGCTTGTGTTTACTGCTGTTTTTACTTATTTCATGGAATTTCGTTTCACGGGAGATTCAGAATTTGTGTTTTTTTGCAGTTTTGCTTGCAGCAAAAGTTTGAATGTTTGATTTATTTTTAAATTGATTTCCGAAGCCAATTTTCAGGCTCCAAACATGTTTCGTGTTTTTTAGAATAAAACAAACATTTTCGATGAAAGTGGCAGAGCAATGTGCTTACAATTGACTGCGCAAATGTATTCAAATTCGAAATTATGACTCGATCTGCAACTGATAATTTAAATTTCAAATAAAATTTTGCTCATTAGATTGAAAATAGAATGTGAAGGAATGGAGCAAACGCCCAAAAAAAAAATCGAAAATTCAAAACATTCTTTTTTTCTCTCTCGAAAATACCCCCCAACCGTTTGCCGCTAACTGTACTGTACCACACTCTAACACATGCAATGCAATAGAATAAATAGAAAAGCAACAAGAAAACTAATAAACTTTTATGGCATTTTCGATGTATGGTTTTTGCTCTGTGAAAATTTCGATGCAAACCTTCACAAAGCAATGCAATACAATCAAAATAGACTCTGCATTTATAGTGATATTTTTTAAGGTGTTGCGCTATTTATTCTAAAGCATCACATATTATTTAACGTCATTTAATCGTAGATCAATTCATTTTTTGCTTATTTTTGTTATTGTTTGGAAAATGCAAACACTAATATAAACGGCTGAATTTAGCTGGATATCAACTTCATGTGTCGGCTTTAGATCAGCCAACGCATTCAATTGTGCTCTATTTCACCCATTTTAACTATTTTCTGTTTAATGAAACCAAATCCTTTTTCACATTCTTTTGGTTTTTTTTTTTTATTTCATTTTTTCATTTAGTTTATTTGTTTGACCTTTTTATAACGTGATTTTTCTAAATACAATTTTTCCAGTTGGTCGCTACTTGCATGCTGGTTCAGTGTTTTAGAAAAATTAAGTCCCTGGCCTTCTTCTAATTTTATTTGACAAAACTTATCATTTTTACTTTGATTGTATTACGAGTAGTATTAATGAAAGTTTCCTTTCAAATATTATAATTGTAAAATTAAATCAACACTTATATTGTTGATATTGTTGTTGTAAAATAGAACGTTTTATTATAAATTTGATAGTAAAGATTTGAGCAAAAGAAAAACGAAGAGATAAAATGCAGTGAAAATTCGAGATGGTAATTGGAATTCCGTTTCCTTTGTTATTGAAATATTGACATTGAAAACCAAAATAAAAAAAAAATAAAAAAAAATAATCAAAATCCAATATGACACGGCATCCAAAAGATGATCGAGAATAACAACCGTATGCGTATACGAACACTCATTACTACAGTTGACACAAAGTTACACTTGATAGTTACCAACACAAGCATGCAATTCAATGCAATTCAAATGCGAATTCAGTCAATTTCCGTTGTATTTCACTAGCATAATTCAAAATGCAACAATATTTAAATGAAACAAATAGTAATGTGTAGTTTTTTTTCTCTCTTAAAATAATATATATCGTTTGTTCGTAAGTTTGTATGAATGCCGTGGCCATTGTTTTATCCATCGTTCATTTATTGTTCCTTGCTCGGTTTCATAGACACATACTCAATATACTATTTTAGTTTTTAGTTTGATATTTATTGACATACATACACGTTCAGTGCAAAACTAATTTTCAAAATGAAAGATAAAAAACGAAAGAAAAGAGAAAAAAAAAACATTGAATGCCATGCGGTGAAAAGACATCGGCTCATGTGGCCAAAAATAAACCGATTACAGTGATTACCTGTCGGCGCAGTGCTTACGAACAACAGTTTGTAGTTAAACATTTTTAAAAAACAAGCTAAAATGAAGTCGCTGTAGGAATAATTGATTTCCAATGCTATTCGAAAAAATCAGATATTTCACAGTTTTGTTATTGCATTCTCTTGAATTTAAATTTATGTGAAATTTTGAATATGATTAAAAATCGATACAAATGTTTCGATCAATCAATAAAAAAGATAAACATTTTTTATCACATGATTCCTATGTTTAAGTATTTATTAGAGAAAAAAATTTATAATATATTTGCTTTTGATATCGTTATGAATATGTCTCGTATAATTTTCTCCTGGAGGCAAATTATATCGATCGTTCTTGTTTGATAGAAAATTGAAAGAAAACAGATACCATACAAACACAGCCACAATGACAGTAACATGTAAAAGCAGTCCGTCCACTAAACTAGTCATTTTCAGTTTGCGTTACAAAATGTATATGAACAAAAAAAAAAACAATTATGATTCAATTTTCATTTGTTCTTCTCGTTTGAAACATATATATATAACAGTTTTTTCTTTGTATTTGTTTCTTTCATTTTTGAAAGAGAAATGTGTTTTTGCACAATAATAATCTAATATTGAAGAAAATAAACAGCAACGGACAGTATTCTTCAAAAGTTTACCTTCTTTTCATTTGGATGAAGAACGCGTAAAATGCAATATGACCGATAATTATAATTTCTAAAAACTAGTTACTAAATTTAACCGAAACAAATTTAGTTACATTATGATTAATGACTTCAAGTCGAGGTTCATACGTACCATTCGTGGTATATTGAATAAAAGCCAAATAAGTCTGATGAATCATTAAAGGAAACATTAGTTAAATATTGAGATACGATGGCAGAAGGACGACGTCAAAATTAACTATCTATTCTAGAATGTGGAAATTACATCACACGCAAACTGGTCACATTCTCAGTGCCATACATGTACGCCTAACAGTTCCTTAATTATGCCACAGCATAGACTCATCATGTCTGAATTAAACTCATCAATCTGATCAAAAAAAAACAAAGTTATGTTTTAAGAATTCGTATACGCAAAACTACTGCTGCCCGATACGTGTTTTCGAATTTGGTGTTTGTCGATTGTTTTTTTTTTTTTTAATTGGCATAAAATCAATTAGAATTTAAATAGCTTTTTTCTGTTATTGTCGTTGTCGTTGTGACTTTATTAAATTGAACCATAGTATTTCGAAAATTTGTCCTTTTAAAAATGAAGATCACCGGTGACTCCAAAAGTGAGCAATAAAATTTACTCATCCTTTGGACGAACTATCATTCATAACGTGACAGTGGAAAAAATACGAAATAAAAGAAAATCAGAGAGCAAATTATTAGCTAATTTATAAATATTAACCGATTGTTCAAGTATTCTGCATAAAAAAAAATGAGATTTGATGCAGAGCATTCGAACAAACGGTCACTTAATTTACATTTATACAATTTTATATTGATAATAATTTTTTTTTTATATATATACACAAAGAAAAAAAAATATTTTTTATTAAAATTATATATTATTTTTCATAATTAGTAGGAGCAATTAAGCAACAAAGGCGCTTGCCAACCAGAGAACATCCCTATCAGAGAGCTGGGACTCTCTCTTAAACAAAATCCAAGCAATGCTAATGCAAAAACCATAAAAACGCATAATGCAAAATGTTTCAAATCATCCAAGAGTCACTTTTGTTGTTCTGTGTGTACTTTTATTGTTGTTCAGAGAGACAAAACAAAGAAAACGTAAACTTGATATAATCACAAGGTTAGTTTCAATTCCTCTTTATTCGTTGATTTTATTCCTATTTTTTTTTCTATATTTTGAGTTCTGTTGTTGTCATCGGTAACTGGTTGCGTTTGATAATAGGGAAAGCTGTGCAAATGCAAAAAACTAAATAAATTTTCTGCAAAAAAATTGAATTGTTTTGATTTTGTTTTAAACAAATATGACTGGCACAGTTTACCTGTTATCGCAGCCACTTTTCGATCACAAATGTATATTTTTTTATTTTTTTTTTATTAATTTGTTTCCTGTGAATTATTGAAACGGCGCGAAGTGTTCACAGTGCATATAGTAGTCCCAATTTAAAAAAAATCGTTTAAATAAAAGAAAAACGCATTCTGGTTTTCCCATTGCTCTCCACCGCGTTTCGAATCGCAGCGATTTTTCTTTTATTTATTCCCTTCTTCACTTCAAGTTACACCTCAATTTTTCAGTTTCGTTTCAATATCAGATTCACTATCTAATTCTTCAACGAATAAATATTGTGAATTAATTTGTTGTTTTTTTTCGAAGAAATTCCACTCAATTTTTTTTCCTTATCAACCTTATTCTTCTTCTTCTTCTTCTTCTTCATTTGAACAAATACAAAAATGGCAGTAAAGATTTTCCACACCATACACAAAACACACAGAATATAGTGTGATACAATATACATACAGAATTTCCAGAAAATTGCATTTTCTTCTCGTGTGCGCACGTGAGAGAGAAAATTGATACTTGAAAAATGAAATGATTATACAAAGTAAAACAATTCTAAATCACAAAAAAAGCAGAAAAAATGGTTTGAAATTTTTATGTGAGAAAACAAGAAATTGAAAAAAAAAACAAATACAAATATACAAGCAAAAATTTCCAGTAATAATAGTTGCGTAAGTAGGTTTAAATGAGAAAATGTAGAATATATTCTATAGAAAATAATTGTTGACTTGTGCCTTTGTGAATTAAGCGAAACAGAGAAAAAAAAATCAAACAAGAGAAACATTTGTTTTAAAGAATAATGGAGATTTTATGAAAAATTCATAAGAAAATAATGACACAAATTGATTTCGTCCAAACGTATTTGATCATATAAAATTGCGAATCGATTTTTAATCGAAATGCAAATAAATAAGAAGAAGAACCGAACAAAAAACCGATGCATTAAATTAGTTTTAATTGCAATTGATTTCCTAGACGTACACATTATGACGTACCATACAATTTCATTTTGTTTATTGAGTTTTATTGTCACATTTATTTATAGATATTTTTAAATTACAATTAAAAAGAAGATCAACAAATCTCTTTTGTTTATTTGTTTATTCTTTTTTTTTATTTTCTTCTCTCGAATGTAAAGAAAATGATTTTTATTTCTTCATTTATTATCGTTGAAATTGATTTTCTTTTGATGCGTTTTAATTGAAATATATACAAATAAAACTGAACACCTTTTGAAAAAAAAATATCAACAAAAACTAGTCCAATGATTTCTTTTGATTTCGATTCGAAAAAAAAAGTGCTCTTGATTTCATTTCGGTTGCTGATAATAAGACTTACACATTTCGATCGACATTTATCTCTCATTTTCATGTGGTAAACTTTTAAATTGCGATGCTTTCATATTTAAAACATGTTTTTGTGACAGTATCATAGTCTTTCAATTGAATACTCCTTTAAATTCTGTCCTATTGACACTAGTACTCCAAGCTTAAGACTAATTCATTGGTTAAACACAAGCATCCCAAATGTGATAATGCTAAACAAAAAATCAAATCTCAATTCATTTAATTATGAATCGAATAACAATTAGAAAACAAATAATATTTTAAAATTTAACCGAAACACTTTCTATATGTGCCTTTTCCTCACGCAAATAATTTTTTATTATTATTTATTTATTGATAGTCACCGTACTACTTTCAAACGCACAAACATTATACAAATCACAATATATAAATTAAAATATATCTACATTATTATAATTATTTTTTTTACCAACTCTATTCTATATTAATTTTAACTTCGATAATTAAAATGGTACCGAATAACTTGATAACCATCTATTGTACTTTCAGCTTTATAAGTAAAATTGTTTAATTTGATTGATGAAAATTTATTTATTAAAACCGAATACTGAAGTCTCTCTTAAATGAACTAACCAAAGGCCAAGTTAACATTTAAACTTAATGTATTTAATTTGATTGATTTTCTATACTATATAATACGATAATACGATAATACGATAATCAATAATTTATTTGAAGCAGAATACATATGTACTTAAATTCTATTTTCTCTTTCACTTTCCACACACATAAATACACACACACACACCATAACACACCCACCATAAAAACACACACACACATTTGACCAGTAAATCAACCAATGTTTTTTAAACCAAGTAATGAAAAAAACGAAACACATTTTATCTGTGAATGTTTACAAATCATATGTAAATAGCCAATCTGTGTGAAAATCGGTTGAATTATACAAGGACACAGCTAGAAACATTTTGTTTTTAAGATTCACGCAATATTTGCCACATTCCGAAACGATTGCATTGACACACCTACATACACACACACACACCCACACAACCCCAGCTGCACTCCCACGTTCTGTTTTCAAACACGAACACATCTTGTTTCTATCTGTCTGTCTCTTTCTTTCTCTCTCACCTGGCCAATTTAAGCTTATAATAATAATTGAATTGAAAATGCAAAATCAATCAAGCGCATTCTTCTGGTGACAACTTAAAATTCGTTTTCATTGTTGCAATCGCCCATACACAGAAGCCAAATGAGACATTTCAATGGTCAATACAAATTGCAAAATGATGGATTGGTTTTATTTTGGAATTGTCTCGTCCTTCATTAATAGCGTGCCAAACAACAAACAACATGTTTTTAACAATTTCTTAGATTCGAAAAAAGTCTTGTATTCAACAAATTCAAATCAAACCATATATATATTTTTAGCTATATATCGTCGCTTGAATAATTTACTATTTATTGTATTTTGTGAATGTGAACAATTAATCATAATTACTTAATTCCTATTTCAATCACTGCTTTGAGTTGTTTAGTAATATATTTTCCGGTCTGTCTACTATCGTAAATAAAATGGGATCTATTTATTATGTTCATGTGCACTCTTTGAAAGCTAAAAAAAACAACAACAACAAACAAACAAATCCGATTGAGTAAAATGCAAAGCGAAGCAATGCTCATTTTCATTACGAGCAACTCGTCACAATTCTTTTCATTGCAAATGATTTTATTTTGTATTTTTTTTTCTTTTTTTTTACCTTTTTTATTGAATGTTAGATTAAGTAAAAAAAGAAAACAAAATCAAATTTATTAATATTTATACAAATCAAATTACTAACCAATCGTATCTTTTTCTCTTTTTTTATTTATTGCTAACAACGTGGTGCCATTGGTAGAACAATGCTATGTGACGTGCTAACCCCTCAACAAAAACAAATAAAACATATGAAATTATCACCATCTTCACCTGTGCAACTATTACTACTACTATTTTTTTTAAATTATGATTATGATTACTATACGATTATTATATGATTATTATTATTAATCAAGCGGCTATTTTCTTGGTGTGTTTTTATGCGAATCGATTTCGCTAAAATGAGATAATTATTATGTGGGCAATACTTATAGTTCTTTTAGTATCGATTTGCATACAATCAACAATAACCTGAAAATAGTTGTCTTTTTAATATATTATTTTATACATATTTTACATATACATATTAATTGAATATTTTTTTTAACAACTACTACTTCTCTATCGAATGGATAGATTAAAAAAAATTGATGTCAATCCAATCAAAACAAAATTATTCAACTTGTTAAACAAAAAACATAACAGCCCCGAGAGAAAGAGAGATAATACAAAAGTTCTATTTAAAAAAAAATCATTAATAATAATTTTAAAAAACGAAAGAAAAAAAAATGATTGAAATTAACTCTCGTTGTTATAATAGTAAGAGCGTTGCATATAATCCCCTTTATGCTCGGAATAACCAGATCAATTTTTTTTTTCTTCAGATATTTTATTGCACATTGTATTATTTTTTAAAACAAACTCAATCATAAACAGAGAGATTGCATGTCATTTGCCATGCGGTATGTTAAGTATGTCCACACATTTACATCAAAACGGCGCGCTACTACATAATCATTGTTTTAATTAATTAGATTAATTATCAAAAATCGTGGGCCAATTCATTCTATTGGGACAAGTGCAAAACCATCTGTATCTTTTTTTTTCTTTTATTGAATATTTGAATTGTCTAAACGTTCGTAAAATTCATTTATATATTATATAGTATATTAAATATAAAAGCCAAAATAATACATATCATATGGATTAACAAATGAGCAAAAGCCCCAGCTCCAACGTGTATTTCTGCACAAATATTTGAAGTCATAGACCAAATCGATCTGGAACTATTGTCAACATGTTAATCGAAATAAGAAGAAAACAACAAAAAAAAAACACACAAATCGAATATTTCTTCAAATGTTTTGCGCAAAATACGCATTTTCAGGTCATACATCATGCAAATTTCACAACATCATTAAATTTATGGACTGCATACAGAATTTAATTGATCAACTGAACACCGCCATTAGCATCAACAGCAGCAAAGCGACAAAATACCAATTTTATCACATATTAAATGCCCACATGCGAAACAGCTAAATAATTTAAGTAACAAACTTTTCACAATTTTAATTAGAATGACCTTCTTTTCCGATCGATACGAGAAACAGAAAAAAGAAATCATGAATCACTCAACAATAAAAAGCAAATCGAAGAATGAAATTTCATTTCCAATAGTTTCCAATAGCTTTGTCCACTCAAATGCTACAACCTTCATCACATTTAACACTACATAGCTATATTTGTTCGCTTTGAGATTAATATGTTCTATTTTTTTTGTGTATCGAATAATTTGTTCTGTAAAATTGTGAAAATATTCGCAAGTAAAAAACACATTCGACGCAGGTATCATCATGCCATTTCAAGTGAATCATAAGTCCGTGTTAAAACTCGATCATAGCGAATGGGTGATTCCTTTTAATTGGCAATAAAGCAATAAATAGCACATAGGATACAATTGAATAGATAAATTATATTGAACCGAAGTTCAATAGGGCAATACAACAAATAGATTTAGATGAATCCAATTTAGAAACAATTTATATAAAGAAAAATTTAACCGTACGAAAAAAAAACTCGTAAATATTGTAATTGTATACAAATGAGAAAAAAATTGAAATTTTATTTACCTTTTAAAAGAAAACGATATAATTGTAAATCGATTATATTTTCTGCACAAATCAAAACTATATTAGAGAACTTACCTTCCTAATTGTTTTTAAAATGATTTTTTTTAGTTTTTTTTTTGTCATCAAATTATATTGAATATTTTTACTATACCATCAAAAACGTTTTTATTGTACACATCATCAATCAGTGCCTTCGGAAAAGATGAATAGCATATAGGAACAGAGAATCGATTAGCGAAAATATTTATTTTCATCTTCCGTTCATTATTTTTTACATATAGAAAATGTATTAATTTCACATATATGTATTTTTATTTTTCGTTTTATCTGTGTATTTTTGTTTTCGTGTGTAAGCATATAAATGCGTGTGCTAAATTATCTATTAGTTTTTTTAAATCATCAAACTAGCCAGTAAGTTTTAGGCACTCAAAAGTCAAATGTTTTTTCTCTCACTCGAAAATTCTTTCTTTAGTCCACAATCAAATTCAATTCTCTCAAAATGAAAATATCCATTTGAGAACGAAAAATATTACCATTGCATCCCGTTAAATTGTTACATCAAACATTTTCATGCTAACTTTGGTAGTATTTTTTTATGATTGAATGAAATGTGTTTTCACAAATTATATCTCGATTACCAGTGGAGTCAGATCATTTGAATTTTGAATTTTAAATTAATAATTGTTTTCAAAGAAGAAAAATGAAATTCACAATCATTGAATTTCAAATTATAACGTTTATTTTTATGTCAATTGTTAAGAACATTAAGAAAAAAATCTGTGTTTTTCGCTGAAATTTTAGAAATTTATGAAAAATATATGTGAAGAAATTATTTGATTATGATGCACAAAATGTTTTGATTATTAAGTGTAGGGAAAATATATCTAATGTAATTCGGATAACAATAATTGAAGTTAGATGAATTGCAAGTGCAATCCAAAACGAATTGAATGGAATGGTAAAATCCATATATCGACAAAATAGATTTTATTTACAAATACGCACAGAATATAATTAACAACCATTAGATAGCATTAGTGTTTGAAAATGAAATAAGTTTGAAGAAACAAAATAACAACAACAACAACAACAAAAATTGAGAAAAATAATAAAAACGACGAGAAAATAATGTTATTTAATTTTTTAAATATTAATTGCCATCTGAACAAATATTTCGCATGGCACAAAGTTTATTTGCTTTCAATCGAATAAACGAATCATTTTTGAGGACCATCAATGAAACAAACAAATTTATCGTGCCAAAACCATTACGAAACATCATGTTCAAAACTGTATTGATTGTATTTCATTTCACGATCAGATAGTTATTAAATGATTCAATTCATTGCAACAATTTGTAATGATAACAATTTTTTCCCTTCTTCCCCGCTAATACTTAAATGAACTCAACGAAGTCCATCAAGTTCAATTTGATTTTGTTTTAATTTCTATGTTTAAAAATTAGAACTTTACTTCAACGGAATGGAACTTCTTAGTGCATCTGAAATAGCATAAAATACATGGCCTTTTTTAAGTATTTTCCATACGTTCGTTTTTATATAAATGAACCAATATCCATTTTGAATTGTTCACAAACAAGTACATACTATTTTTAATATTGTGCCATCGACGATCAATTTTTTTATCATAAAATTTGCACTGGAGACAACAACAACGGTAAAATAAAAGTGAATGAAATGACAGAACCAAATTTAAATGACTGACAATAAAATCAGAATAATGAATATAAACATTTTTTTTTTCATCTGCAACGTTTCAATTCAATTTTAACTCGTTCACTTTGTTCGTTTTATGCAAGAATGCATCGAATGCTTTCCAACTTCTGGATAGGTAATTATGGTTCTTATAGCATTATAAAACGAAACGATATAAAAATTGACATATTGTTCAATAAAAACAAATACAATCAAATCAATTTTATAATTTAATTAATTAATTGCATTAATACATACACACAGTTACTGTCCATCCATTTAATGAAGAAAAATAAAGATCTTATACCTTAAATATTATATTTATCTGAAAATTAAATTATAACAACGTAATCATAGGATTAAAGAGCGATTGAAAAGCAATGCACAAATTTAAACATTAAACAAAAATGAAAACATCTACGAAATATTTATTGAGGAATCAAAATTTATTTAAACAAAAAAAAAAACAACAAACAAGCACACGATTTTTTTTTACAAATAATATAAATTTAAACTAATTGTACTAATTGTAATGATCTGTATACAAATTGACCGTTTATTTTGATGTTTCAACAATGACAAAAGATGAGTAGCACTGTTTTTTTTTTGAATTTCCAAAGCGCAAACAAAATACATACTAGCAAGTACTTAGTAAACGTATTGAATTTTAGTGATGTCCATTTGAGCAATAAAACGCAAACTATGACCAATTCACTTATCCATTGACAATTGATGCACCTTTGAATGCGATAAAGAATACAAACAAAATTTCAATTGATGCGTTTCACGTTCGTTTCATATAAAAATTTAAAGACCAATCACACTCTTGAATAAAATCACATTTTCCGCGATAGATGACAAATTGTCCATGGATTTAAAGTTTTATTTGTTCGTTTGTTTGCAAAGACGAAAACGTATAAAACAAAAACTTATAGAGAAAAAAATGAAGATTAAAACCTTTTAATTTGTGTGCCTTATTAACAGATTCTATAACTATAACTAATTTAAATATTAATGTTTTTATGTGTGAATTTTTACATTTGAAATAAATTTTTAATAAAAAAACCGAATATATTGAGATTGCGTTTACTATTGACATCTTCTCTTTGAATCGATTCATTTTGAAGACAAAAAGTTGATTTAAGCAATTGTCAACTATGACAACGTGCTCGATGTTATCAGTTCTGTCGGTCTTGCATTTTTGTTCTTGACTTTTTTATTGATTTTGAATGATTTGTGGTATGTGTCATTTTGTATCGATCGGATTTATATGCATTTTCCTGATTATAATATTGATTAATTTTCTCATTGTTTCTGGATGAACCGGACGATTCATACGTAAGTATTGGACCAAATTGCTTTTTAAAGCTACTTTTATGGGTACATGGTCCCCGATTGCAGGCGACAATTTCAATTTTATTACCCTTGAATCGATACATCTGTCCCATGCCGCACGTACGAGAACAAGCCGAAAATCTTGACCAACTGCAAGGTTCTTTCATACATTTTTCCACTTCTTTAACGTCACCGATGCATGTTAATTGACTATCATGTGATTTCAATCGAATACAAGTTCGATTCCGTTCTGTGAAACCAATGCCACACCTTTATCAATAAGAATTTTTGGAATTTCAGTTAATATTTTAATAAGTTTGGTTATTTTTAATTTTATTACGTTTTGTTACATTCGCTCCATTCGCTGAATTCACCCCAATATGGATTGAAAATCACATCAAATGATTGCTCTGTTTTGCCCAAATTATTTTCCGCAACACAAACGTACACACCAAAATCGTCATAGTTTGTATTTGTGACTAACAATTTTTTGTTATCGAAATGATATTTTCCCTTTGGTTTTGTATGATTAATAAACGTAAGTATATTATCATTTTTATACCATGTTATTTTCGGTTCAGGTAGCCCTTCAACATCACATTTTATTGAAAAATTTCCACCCATATTCAGTTTGATTTGCATTTGGGTCGATGCAAGTGACGATGGTGCCTTTTCAACAAATACTCTAAATGTATAATTGAATGAACCCAACGAATTATTTGCATAACAAATGAATGTTGTATCTTCAAGCACACTATCTCTTTTCTGTATTTGAAAACAGAAATATTAACAATGAAAAAAAAAAGAGTCAAAATTGAAATGTATGTGTAAATCTCCTTACCAATGTCAAATTATGAACATCTATCATTTTATTGGATGTATGTTTTTCGCCGCTAATCATTTCCATCCAACTAATTTTGGGACGGGGATTGCCTTCAATTGGACATTCGAGTGATATTTCTTGACCATTTTGAATGATTAGTTTTGCTTCCGTTGCGATGTTATTATTTTGATTTCGCATTTTTATGTTACTTGCTGCGCTGGCCAATCTTGGTGGTGATAAAATATTCAATGTTTTGGACAGTTCACCAACTCCCACCGAGTTTTCGGCGATACAGGTAAAGAATCCATCGTCGGTTGTTACAGATGAAATGTGTAAGGTTCTGTTATCATTTGCCAGCATGTATTTATGTTCTGTAACAAAATTAATGGCAATACCATTCTTATGGGAATCATAAAATGTTTATCGTTAGATGCATACAATTATGTTTCGATTTTAATTTTAGTAGACTATGTTATACATACTTTTTTCCATAACATTTTTTCAACTGGTGGATAAGCATTTTCGAAGTCACAATTCAAGTCGATTGGTTCACCAATTCCAATGTCAATCGATGCATTTGTGTCCGGTGAAAATGTTGGTTTCGATACATATTCGATGAAAGTGCTGCGTTCATCATGACCATATGTATTTGATGCAAAACAATCAAAACGATGTAAACCAGTTGGCCATTCATTGAGATGCAATTCAATTTGAATGGAATAAGGGCATTTGTAACGAAATATCCATTTGATGTTGTCTTGATCGTCACCAAATGGTTTTTCAATCAAATTGGTATCATTATGGTATGTACATAATTCAGATAATCGGAAATCATTTGATAAATTCGATTTCGATGATGAGAACAATGTCTGATTACCGTTAATCCACAACAACGTTGATGACAACGTTGGCATTGGATTTCCAGTCGCATTGCACAATAAATTGTTCTTCCCATCTTGTGCCTGAGATGTTTTATTTTCCGAAATAGATTGTATCGATGGAATGGCTGAAATATATGTAGATGGACATCAGAATAGATAATAAAAAAAAAAAAAATCTTTTAGCATAGCTTACCGTATACATCGAGTGTAAAATGTTTTACACTGCTCGATACAGTGTTCGACACGATGCATGTATAATTACCGCTTTCCGTTAGACTTTGTCCAGGAATTTCGAGTAAACTTCGATTTGCTCCGGATATTTTGACTCTGAAATGGAATTTCACAGCAGTATAAAGTGGAGAGCATTCAAATATGTTCATACTTTGTACAGTTTGTTCTTACTTGTGTTTGTACCATTCGTAGATGGGTTCTGGGTTCGCATGCATTAAACAATTCAATACGACTGAATGATTCTGGACTACTTTTATAATTTGGTTTGTCTCGTTCGTGTCTGACATTGGTGCAACTAAATGATGATTGTGATTTTAACAAATGCACTTGAAACATTCAATTTACTTGAACAACTCACACAAAACATTTAAGTTGACAACAATTTCGGTTGCACCATTTTCATTGGTAGCTGTACACGTGTACTTGCCATGATTTGATGCACTCACATGTTCAATGAATAAAGTTTCATTTGTTGATATGCTTTGACCATTGTGCATCCATTTTAACTTTGAAAAATACAATTTCATTTTGATCTGTGACAAAGAATTTATTTATTTTTGTGATTGTTGTTCACTTACTTCGGGCACGGGGAATCCATGTGCCTTACAATCGATCGAAAAATTGGACGGCGATGTAACATCAATAATTGTACCATTCATTGTTGTATTTTGAAAAATTGGCGCATATTGAACTACAATCTCATATGTATATTCATTATATCCGGCTTCATTTTCGACATGAATTGTGTAATTACCTAGCGATTTGTATATTAAGATGAATCAACTAATTAATAAAATAAAGTAAATTAATTTATTCTTGAAATTACCAACGTCAGTTATGGAAACATTGGAAAAGCTCAAGTCTTTCATGTCACTGTTGAATGGTTTTCCATTTTTTAACCATTTAAAATGGTTAAAATGTTCAAATGGACATGTCAAATTCAGATTGGACCCCAATTGGATGTGCTTTGTATTCTGTAGACTATCAGAAAGATTATGTGATAGCTCCGGTCTGTCTAATATTGAATAAAATAAAAGTATATAACACAATCACAGTCTATACTTAATCAGGTTATCATACAAACACAGTCTCACCAATAATTCGAACACAAATCGAATGCGAATCTTTTCCGAATGCATTTTCGCCAACACACGTAAAATTCTTCTCATTAAATTTTAGTATTTTTGTATCGAGATCCAATACATTGGTTGATGTCTTAGTCGATTGATCATCGGTCCAATAAACTTTGACATTACTTCCAATCGCTGAACATGTAATCGAAGTATGTTCTCCTCTCAGCAAACGTATGTTTTTCTCAAGGCTAGATTGAATTTTTGGTGCATCTGATAATGATAAAAATTAAAAGTGAATGAAATTCGAATGGGAAAAAATCAATATCAAACTACCGTGCACCAGAAAATAAAATGAATTGCTTGCGATGGAAATATTGCTGAACGTTTCACAATTATATGGTTGTTTTATCCATTTTGATGGCGATGTTGTTTTTGCCGAACATTTCAATATCGGGTCACTGTTTGGCGTTACTTGAATGAGTTTTGTATCATTCTCCGAGAGCAAATTTGATGTAACTAATATAAATATATAATTCGATTTTTATCCAATATTTGTTTGAATATAATTTTTTGAAATTTATTGCTGTGGAAAATTGAGTTTGGCAAATGTGAAACAAAATATTTTCATAACAACCTAACTACCATGTTTTGTATGATTGTAAAATTGTACATAATCCTCTCTGTTTTACACTCATACAAATGTCGGAGTCAGTAATGTGCGAATCATCCTTACCCCACTTTAGATCACACATTACAGATCTGAGTGTATATATTGCAAAACTTTATTAAATACAATCCAAAAGTGTCATACCAAAAATAGCCAGCAAAGTATTTGTGTTGAATGGAGCGGTGTTGTTTGATTGCAGAATGCATTCAAAAGCATCTTCATTGGGAACATCTAAATATAAATAATTTTCTTCTACTCCTGTTCCGTTTAAAATTTGTGTTAAATCTGGTGCATGTAGTTTATTTAACCTACACCTTGATATTACATTCGAATTATTTAAATAAACTGCAATCGAATGGATCTTTTCATTTGGACATTCCTCTGAAATAAAACGTCGCAATTTTTTATTATAAATAGAATAGTTCAATAAAATGCGATTCAAATATTTGTTACCGAACAATACAATTGTTATGTTTCTATTATAAACATTGGATGCGATGCAGTCATAAACGTTGAACGGTACTGTTAAATTGCCATTTTCACTTTCTAACTCGACCAAGTTCACATTTTCATTAGTACTGCATTTGTGAAATGAGTTTTTCTCATGTATGTCTTCAATTTTTGGTGGTCGTTTTACGTTTATATCAATCGAAAAAGTATCATTGCCGAATTCGTTGAACAACGAGCACTCGTATGTGCCACTTTCTTCCTTTGATATATTTTTAATATACCATGTGTAATCGATTATATTTGCAGAATCATCGCTAATAATTTCTTGTGTTAAATTTTCGATTCGGTTCCACAAGAGCATTTGCAATGGTTCGCACATTTCACAGTGACATGTCAAATTAATATCATCACCCTCCGACACATTTAGCTGTTTTATATTGGTCTTTGAAATGTTTGGTGGACCATTTGCTAGACCTTTTAGTGTAACTTTTCGAATGGCAATCGGTTCAATTCCATTATCAAGATTACATTCGTATACTCCTTCATCTAAAAATTCAAACGATTCGATTTGCAATGGACTCTCGTCAAATGTTTCGAATGTATTTGCATTTGGAAATTTCCATTTGATTTGAGCTTGTGGTAATGAAAGTCCAGTGCAATTAACGACCACCGGTTCACCATACGTTACATAGATCTCTGTAAGAAATATTCCATAATAATTTATTGACGAAGAACATTCATTGCAGTATCATCATTACCTTCAACTTCGATTTCATTTAATATGGGCGCAAAATAAACGGTGAATTGAGTCGATGCTGTTTGTTTGCTACTACCCGCTTTAACAACAACTGAATAGTTTCCCGAAAGCTCTTTTATCACATTTTGAATGATCAAATTGTATTCTGAAATCTAAATTCAAATTCAAATATATTATAATTTTAATGGATTTTATGTATTTGTATTTACCATGTAAGTTTTACCATCGGTAACAATTTCAGCGCCGTTGAAATACCACTTAACACTTGGTGTGAATTTTGATGATGCCACAATTGTAGATGGTATTTTGAATTGGGATTGTTTCTCCGTTCCAATGTATTGACTATCTGGTATGGTAACTACCAGAGGGGTTGGCATTATTTCAATTTGAATACTTTGATTGGACAAGCCGTACTGATTAGAAGCTACACATGTATATTGACTACCAGCATTTGGTTCAGATGATTCAATTTCGTATTGTACATTCGTCATCGATTCACTGCATTCAAAATTGATTTATTTCATTAAATAATTCAACAAATATTCATTAATATAGAGTGACAATACTTTGATTTTAATCTTTTGACTTCCTTTTGATTATGATAAATCCGAATCGTTGACGGAACTAATGATTGAACGTTGCACTTGAGGAATAAAGTTTCACCTTCGGTAACGCTTGTATTTGTTTCAAGTATAGTAACTTTTGGCGGCACTCCATCCAACTCTTGTACAGTTGTCGATATCATTCTTTTTATTGGGTTCATTTTTTCATCGTATCCGGTCACCTTAATGTTATTTTATAACATTGTGGTTTTTTTTTGTAATTTTTGTCTTTTGAAAAGTCATTGAATATATTCTTACCAAAATTTTAAACGACTCCTTTGGCGGTTCAAATGCAGCCGTTTCATAAAAAAACTCTATTGTATTTTCAATTTGTTTCTCTATTAATGGTAGAATGATAGGCTCAGCATCATCAAATTGCAAATGTGCTTCGGTTAAGTTTATTTTATGTGACGATACAATTGTTAAAATATTTGGCAATCCTAATAAATAGAAAAGAGTTGAATATACGCCGGAAGTAATTGAAAAAGCTTACCGCCCCAAGGAGTAAAATGACTTATATCTGACGTTCTATTTGGAGATTCAACTGAAAAACCATAAGATAAATGTATTTTAGAGTTGGCTGTCAAACGAACAGAATGAGGTCCATGTGCAAATGTCTCAATTTGCCATTCACCCGGAACTGGATTTTCAATCGTATATCCTTTTACATATATCAAACTAACAGAGTCGAATTTATTCTTTACTGCTATGTTAGTCGGATCGTAAAACCAAACTTTTGCCTTTTCGCCGGCAATCATAATATTGAGATTTTTCATTGTCTCATCAACGGGAAATGTCCATTGGCTCAATTCACTATGATTTGAATAGGTTGAAATTAATAGGGTATGCTGTTTGTCCAATTTTTTTGTTACATCTTGTAAAATTACTCCAATATCTTGAGTTGTAATATCGAATAGTTGACCGTTACTAACTTTGATTAGTCGGTCAAATACTTTATAGTGTTCGGTGTTCCTATTGTTACAGTAACCAGTTAGTAGAAATGTTATCTGAAATAAGTTAATTTCATGGTTTTTAAGTTTCCACTATGTCTCTAGAAAGTTCAGGAAATTGAATCATAAGTTTTAAGCTCCTACCCTCACATTTTTTTTATCGAAAATTGGAATTAGCACATTTTATATGTTTTACGGACTTGCGTAAAAATTGTAAATATACTTACAGTGATTTGTTTGCGTTGTATCACTTCGATGATATCTTTTTCCAAAAAATAATCTTTTATTGATGCATCACTAAATGCGTACACATAAGAAAATGGCAGACAATGGTTTAATGCCTCCATCATTCCTAAAATGTTTAATTAATTTGCCGTGTATGTCAGAGAAGTTAATTTTTATGCAAATGATCGTTACAATCGATTAGAACCAAAACTAAATCGAAAATTTGGCGTTACCCTCCAAGCGAAACAAAAGGAATGTTCCAAAGATTTTTTGTGGCAAAAGAAGCAGAGCATGTAGTCGCATTTATGAAGCAACGCACCACAGAAGCGCTTATTGTTTTTGTCAGGAACCACTCCTGAGCTCGGATTTATATACAGCGGAAGTAATAATAATAACCCATACATAGCTAGAAGCACGTTTTTTTGTGAATGACGATGTCATGCTCTGCGAAGCATAGCCGTAATTCGTCATATAAACGACTTTTGAATCAATTTTATAACCAATCAACGAAGCCGTTTCGCAGTCGATTTAGTTTTAGAAGCATCCGTTTCGATCTTTGATAATAATTATCAAGTACCATTAAGCATAGTCTTCGGACAATCGTCACCACCATAAATGTCAACATTGTTTAAAGCGTCCAAAAGTTCATCTTTATCGTCCGTCACCAATGAGGGGCCGTTTGCTAAAATAACATGTTTGATTTGTAATAATCTAACAATGTCCTTGTCCACATATTCACTAACCCAATGCTCCATTTTCTTCGCGAAATGGTACAAAAATATAATTATAAAATGGATTATCTTCAATCTTAGAAAACTTATTGACTAACATTGTAACCCCTTTCCGAAGTTGATCCAGGTCATCTTTCATTGATGAGGTCGCATCAAAAACAAGCACTAAACTCTTTTGACCTGGTCGTGGTTGATTTGCTTTCATTGAGATGCGCACATCATTTTTCACTTCACGTTTAACAATCGAACGACCCACATTTTCTATTTGATTATTTAAGCAAGAACTTTGATCGTTGCATTTTATTGAACTATTTATAAACGGTTGTTTTAAATTATATTGGTTGCTATCTATGTATGACAATGATTGTGTTGCACACAATAACAGAATCAATTCACTGTACAGCACAATTTTAATGAACATTTTTTAAGCCTTAGAAGGTATCTTTTTAATAATAAATAGTGTAAAAAAAACGTCAACACCCAAGTATTATTTCGATTAAACTGATTTCAACATGTTCATGTTTCACATTGAATGAGCACAATAAAATTATCGCTTTTTTTTTTTCAAGTAAGAATACGGTTGGAGGTCAGTGTGCCTATAACATTGTAGCGTTTATTTACGTAAAATCTGTTTTCTCAGAAATATACCGCAAAATTATAATATGTCATACATATTTCTAGGGATGTGCTCATTCCTTGTTCACTTTGGCTTTGAAGCGCGTGGAATAAAAATGACACATACTTTTCTTTAACAAAAAAATATCTGTATGATAACAATAGAATAGTCAAGAAAAAAATGGCAAGACCTTAAAAAAACGAATAATACGAGTTTTTCATTTTTTATATTACATAGTACGATATTATTATCACTTTTGTTTTCAAAACATTTTGGTAATCGCAAAACATATAGTCTGGTCACATTTTTTGGCACAAGTATTACTATAATATAATTTGCATAGCTGAATATGCCAGCTTGATATTACGTTGCAGGAAGATATTTTCGTTGTCGGTTGTTGTGTACGCTATTTCGATTTTGGTTTATCTCTTATTCATATGTACTTAAATTTCCGCTGAACATTTTATTTACACAATTTGGAGCGTTAGAAATTGCGTCTACTTGATCTCAGTCAAAAGTTTTTTTTTTTTTTTTTTCAAATAAAAGACAGAAACATTTTTTTATCAGATTATCGTAGACAAAAATCATACATCACTATAATATATAAAAATTCTTTCATCTTTTGATTAGAGAATTTAAATACAAAGGAATGGTTTTGTAAGATATAAGTTGCTGTTTAGTGAAGTTCTAAAATATAACTGAATTTTATTGAATTTTGCTGTAACATCGAGAAGGCAAAATTCACAATTTAATTTTTGTTACAAATGAAATTAAATTCTATTGAATTGAATTGAAATTAAAAATATGTTGGTGCAAAGTGCAATTTGAAGAAGAAAGAATAATAATTGAAACTGTCGGTTTGGCAACGATCTTCGATTAAATTTACAAAAAGAAAAAAATTGTTGATTGAACCACCTTTTATCAAATGAGTTTTGAGCATAAAAGAATTGTTTGCCGTCGATTGAAAAACGGGAATGCCACCTCATATCCATATTGCCAAGGTCCGCGATCTGTTTCTTCTTCCATTTTTCCACCAGGTAATAATTCTTGGATGAAACACCTTTGCTGATCTTCTTTGCTTTGACCAAAGAAAAACTGTCTATCTCCTATATTGAAGTGAAATGCAACCGAATATATCTATATATCCATTGTCCATTATCTGTTTCTTCGCCCACTTTTCCATCAGGTAATAATTCCTGAATGAACCAATTGAATCTGTTTAAAATATTTTGACTATAGAAAAACACTCTACTTCCAATCTTGAAGGGAAATGCAACAGAATATCCAACTTTCCAAGATCCGAGATCACTAATAGTACCTATTTTCACTTCATGATAGCCGTTACACGAATAGAAAATTAAGAACGAAGAATAAATAATATTATCAGCCAGATATATTTTAGCTCATCATAGGATGACTTCAGCTACTTGTATGGAACCAGAAGATGGAAATCATTGCAATTGTACGAAATTCTCCATTAATTGCATTTATTTCGGAAATAAGACACCTTCAGGTAAGCGAAACTGTGACAAATATAAGTGTGACGCCATTGTGTCTCACATGTACACAACATAAAGTGATTTACCCAGACATAATATTGGAATATTTTCAGCCAGCTAAATCAGTTCAGGACACAAACATCAGGTGCTGGAGTGAAATCAATAGATTATTATAGTGATTGTAACAATGAACGTGTTTTTATATCTGATTCAACTGGCTGAAAATATCTCAATATAATGTCTGGATTTACCATTTAGATGTAAAGGCTTTACCAACTTACTGTTTTTGTCACAGTTGGAAGAAGCGTCACTTGAGCAACTACCGATCCAAATCATAAATAAAAATGGAATTGGTATTGAATCAAAAGAAATAAGTATTTTGGTAGAAAAAGTGCAAAACTAAACAATTGAAATGAAATGAAATATTTAACGGAATCCATAAGCGCAGAATCTGAAATCCATAAAATTAGTTTATTTTTCAAGAATAAACCTTTGTTGGTTTTTTTTTGTTTCACGTTTATAACTACTTACATTTCCAGTAAACAATTAAATTGCTCAATTCGAAGCTTTCGAAACGAATAAATATTTCATACGAAGCTTTACCTATAGGTAATTGATGTATTGCACACTGGCAGCTAAATAAAATGTTTTTCAAACACATCTTTTCAATTGCGTACGTATATTGTATATTTGATTTTAGAAAAACACACACACATTTTTTTTCTCTTTCGTTAAATTTATAAGTATAATTTTCTCAGTTTATCACACAATTAAATGATCGAACCACCTTACAATCGTTGTGGATTCGATATATGATTTGGAATGATACGCATTTAATTTTATAACGATATCTATCATTTACATTTACAACATTTTGCCTTGAAGCTGCAATTCGAACAACAATTTTGTCCATAATTTAAATAATCATTAATGTTTTGTTTAAATTAATTTAATTTAACTAATAGTGACATCAACTTTGACTGTAGCCAATAAGTAGCTTCTCGAAATGAAGAATTCTACATTTTTTTTTTAAATTAAATATCATCGCTGACAAAATCACACATTTAAATCGGACATCATTTTACGAAAATCGGTAAGTGAACCGTACGTATCGAAATCGTCTAAATGACGTCGTTCTGGAACTACATTCTGTGGTCTGGGCAATGAAAGAGGGACGGGTAATAACTCTGGCATTACTGAATGATGTGTTATTAGAGCCCGAAGCGATGAAAACTCTTTTGTGAAACCCTGCAAAATATGAATAGATTTTAAGAAAAATGAAAACCATTCTCAAATGTGATAGATGAGGAAATCCGTAATATATTAATAAGTTACCTTGATCTTATATCCTTGTGACGTTCTTAAAATGAGATAGTGTGCTACTTTTGGCGCTGGTGGTGGTACACGCAATGATAGAGCAAAGCAGCCGGGTTTTGTGCTACTTTGACGTACTAGAAAGGCACCGGGACTCTTTCGACTTAGAACTTCAAGTGAAATTTCCCGAGGTAAACCAGCTTGAAACCATGGCGCATCCTTCAATTCAGCCTGTTCCAATATACTAAGACCGCGTATACGTTTCTCTTTTGTCGAAAAGGCAAACATTTTTGGACTTGAATTGGCTAGAAAAATGAAAAAACAAATGAATTCATAAATTTCACATGAACAAATTAATTCTAATCGATTTATAGTGGAAAATAAAATTGAAAATCTTATATTTTGAATAAATAAATTTGCATTTTAAATAAATTCTTTGGAACAATAAATGAATACGGTTGCATGTTTTCTCTGCTCCATATGTATGCATGAGATTATAAATAATGCAACGAAATAATGTGGTGGAAGAGTATGCACACCGTAGAGCCAGAATATTTCGATTGACTCGAAGCTTGATTTGTTGGCAACGTCGCAACGTTGGACTTTGACCACAAAATATTCAACATTATAACACTCAAATGAAATGCGCATAGAAATTTGACTTGGTTTGCATATTTGCATGAAAATCAATTTATGAGCATTTAAAAATTGAAAATTCTCATTTTCTGTTCACATTATTACATTATCTCTTTTACATTAAATTTGGTATTACATTACATTCAATTTCGGTTTATACATCTTTTGTTCGTAATTTTTGTGCAAAAAGCAAACATGAATTGTCTGCTCTTTAATAGAAATGGTTTCTTTAAATCATAAATTTTCGAGTGGAATGAATGTTGAAAATGTGTTGTTTTATTTTTGGATTTCATCTGTACGTCCATCAAACTGTTCGTCAACAACATATGCATACATGTAGAGACAATGACTTCTTAATGAAGCAAAAAGTAAATAATAATTTGCATGCAGATAAAAGGAATAATGGTCTAGCTGTTTCGGTTGGATTTGTTCCAATTCCTTTGTATTTAATATATATGATCACTAAAAATGTGTCTGACTATTGTTCATTTAGTAGTTTAATAATAGAGCACTCACCACTGCTGGTTTCCCGCAGAAAATGTTTCTTTAAATCGAATTCACAAGGATCTCTATAGCTTTTATCCAAAACCGATGTTAAAGATTTACGACACGAATCTCCGAATTTACTGGAAATGATTTTATCGGGATCGCAAATTCCCTCATTGACATAGCCATCGGATATTGTGTGCATTGACCCAGAAGTTGGTGATGGTGTATTCAATACCAATGGACGACTTTCTTCTGATGTTCGTAGTAATCCCATGGCAAGGCGTTTTACCTAGTTGTAAAAATTGTTTATACAAATAAATGCATAAATTATTCTCCGTTTCATCTCAATATCCTACTTTTTAAATAGTGTGTGTTTTTTTAGTTAACATTTAATTCGATAAAATATATTTTGTTCATGCATTTTATTCAAAAATATTTTATGAAATTGGAATGCTTACCAGTGGAGGTTTGTCTATGAGTCTTCTACAATTATTTAGTTCTGTTGGTGAATTGTCTTCTTCAGAGCTCGCTGATCTTGATGCGATATTTTGTATGTTTGTATTTTCACAGCTGTAACATTTGTATAGAACAGAGCAGTACCATATTAATAACAATAGCAAGCAAAAGTCAATCAAATCACGAAGAAAATTTCATTTACAAATTACAACTATAGCACCGCCCTATTGTACATTATTTTATGTATAAGACATATAGTATACATATAAGTATTTTAATAAAATTATCATTCGAGAATGTAGAGTATTGCATCGTATTAAACTTACGTTGTGCTTGCTTTGGAGAATAGATGTGGCGGACGTTTGCTGGGTGATTCTTGGTGATGATCTGGAGCAGTTGCCGTCGTCGGTCTCTCAACTCTTATGCTAATATTCTGCATGCCGTTGAATTTATTATCGTTCTTATTTTGTTGTTTGTTTTGTTTGCTGCTCTTTTTTGGCTTCACTTCTGTTTTATTAATATTTTTCGTATAACTGGCGTCACACTGAATTTTCCATTTAAATGCATCAGCCAAAATTCAATAAAATTAAACGAATAAAAAAGATAGAGAAAAGAAAATAAATATCCCGTTAAAACTGTTTTCCCAAATACATCTATCTATGTATGACAATCGTTCAGTAATATCTTGATTATTAAATAGCATAACAACATGTAAGTGAAATCTGAGCAAGCACGAATCATATGAGAAGTAATCATATAAGCTGAAAATATTTAATGTCTATAGATCCGTTAAAGTTCTTGAACGTTCATTCATTAAAATTACATGTTTCGATGGTCGAGAGAACTTTACCGATTCTAATCATATACTTTGTGACCAAACCCTGAGTCATAAAAAGTGATTGGACGTATGTCATCTTAATCCTTGGTAGAGATATAATCTATCCATGAATGAATGAAGGGTTACTTCATCAAAAGCAAAATAGATGAGTTTTGGTTAATGCAACGACATGTTTTAACTTGATGTTTGTCGCCATCAAGTGAATTTCCATTTGTTGTTTTACATTTTTTTCAAGATACTATGGAACAAATGTCTATGTTTCGTTGATGCTGATACGTAAACTGTGGCAAAACTTACCTCAAAGTAAATAGGCTCCTCTTGATTGAATTTGTTGATTTTTTTAAACTTTCGTTCGTCTAATAAACCCTTCATGAAATTGTATACTGCACGTTTGCACTTGCGTTTAAAGTCTTGTTGGTTTTTCGGCTCTGAGCTATTTGTTAGATTTGTTTGATGTTGATGTTTATGACAGTCAAACGATGCATTCGAGTTTTTCGCAAGGAAATTCCTTAACTGAGACACATAAAAATCTGAGGCTACAACATCACACCGTCCATTTACATCGACAACGTTGTTATGAGCTTTCGTATTTTTTGTTCCAAACACATTTCGAATCTGCTGAAATGAAAAACAGAAGGCAAAATGTTGAAATAAAATAATGAAACCAGAATAAAAACTATCTTTTCTTCAACAACAAAATAATCATTTTACGCAAACAAAAATGGCTTGGGGTAATTCTTTCTTATCGCTTAGTAAATATCAGTAGCTGGTAGTGAGTGGTTTTTCTCTTGGCATGACATTCTTTTGACTGCTTCGCAAAAAAAAAAACGAGAAACAAGCGAAAATCTTGATAAAATAATAATTTGTTTCCCAAACACTCTCGATCATGATACACATCAGAGCGTAAATAACGAATCGACAGTACACCAGTGGTGCAACACCACATAGTGTGTGTATGTAATGTCATAAGTTCTTTATCTTTTTCTCTTCTCTCTCACTCTCTCTCTCTCTCTTGGACACTCTGAAATATATGTTGAAGCCAACGTACGTGTTAGTGTGTTGGGCTTGCCATAACTATAGTCTTCATCGATAATATGTTATGTACGGCAATTTATGCATTCCCGCCTTTTAACAAACAATTGCGACAAACGTTTTTGTACCGAATGTTTTTCATGGAACCATTGAGAACATTGCTGCCCCAAACTCATATTCGCTTTTTTCCACCATTCATTCAACAAATTCTATCTCCCAATTTATGGAGCGCTTCAAATGGCAAATATTTTCTGCAATCAGCAAATAAATTTCATTCACATGCACTCGTGGTATGTATAGTGCAAAGCGTGTATCTGTGTGTAACTATAAATACAATGTACGTAGCGCACAGTGTCAGAAAAGAAGATGAAATTGTATAATTGCCGGTTAGTAGACGGTGTTAGTAATGTAATTTTGTGTTATATTGCCATTCTACGACTAGAGTGAAATAAAATATTTTTTTTTCTTCTGCAGAGCTGTTCTTTTTCTGTGTCTATCCATTCATCTGGTTGTCGCTGTCTCCACCACTACCACCTTCTTCTACCACCATTCTGTCTTTGTTGCATTTTACTTGGCTTATTCTCCACCATAGACGCATAAAATGCGATATTGAATATCTTTTCATGTGGATATCAGAAGTTGTGTGTGTGTGTGTGCCACACTGTAAATGTGGTTGGTGGTAAGTGCTAAAACATATGATAACAGCATACAGGATCATACAGGGTTCGGCACTCGAGAGATGAAGAACGGGCATTTTGCTATCGGTACATTGCCAGTACATTTCATGAATATACAAAACAGTTGGGCTTATGCTGTAAAATTCTTTATAATGTATTTTGTATGTACTTTTTTGTATGTGAGATATTTTGTACGTTTGTAATGTCTGACATTTTTTTGCACGTTATTTTATTTGGTCTTTGTTCTGTTTGCAAACACGATATATATATATATATTTTATGCTGTCGTTTCTCTTTTTACATCTTGTTTGTGATTTAACGTAAATATTCGTCATGGGAAAAGTGGAAAATGTTCAAGCTAATTTCCTGCGCTCAAGTATGTTTGTCTGTTTGCTTGTGTGTAACAAAATTACGTTTGGCACTATAAATTTCATTATGAAACTCAACAACCGAACTGTATGTGTGCATGTGTGCAAGCCTTATTCAATTTCATCTTTTTTTATGTTTATCGCCGAGCAGAGTCTATGCAATGGTATTTGGCATGGCTGAAAATGTGAACGGTTTGAATAAAAGCAAACACACGAATGAATCGATGCGACAAGTGCCAGAAAAAAGTGTGAAATTGTCTATTACTTATATTTGTATGGAACAATTTTATTTTTATTATACTGTTGAGCGCCGTTTAATCAATGTGGATGACAAGAACGAGAACGGAGACACATGGATGTGAATATAAAGGAAATGACGTGGCACGGAAAGATAACAAACAATGCAAGCGCTAAATATAATACTTGAACACAGACTACCTCTCGACTTAGTTTCAATGCACAATCAAATCCGTTTTTTTCACAATCCGTTTAAAAAAAAAGAACAAACCAATTCTGTTATATTACAGCAAAAAAAAAATTCAAATGAGAACAAAAGTGTGTTATTGTGGCCACTTATCGCGGAATCAACTATCACCATACAATAATAAAAAAAAAGAGCCAATAAGTGTTACAAATTTATTTCAATTCAAATTCTGATAAATTCGGTAAATTTCAATTCGGATAAATTGTTGAGAAATAAGATGTTGGATTTGCATTATTAATAACAATTACATTCTGCATTGAATGTAAACAAGTGACAAAGGGCAGTATTATGCGTATATTTTCTTGTCACATGCAACGAACAAATCATTTGAAATGTTCTGACATTTTCGTTTGCTTCACTGCATTGTCATATGCAAACATGCACCCATTCTAATGTGCTTTATATTGTCTAGACATTTCACTTTCACAAATCAACACACATTCAGAATAATGACAAATTGGGTTTGAAATGCGATTGCAACAGTTGTACGGTACAATTTGAATCAAACGCGTATGGTGCCGTATGCAAAAACCAAGTGCAATTATGTCAATGCAAAATAAGAAGCATTCAAATCGTATGGATAGGTATTATTTTTTCTCTCGAAAATTTATGTGTATAATATGCATGGAAATGTCGAAATAAAAAAATCCTCTCTTTTACATTAACTAAACGATGCAAACTGCTGCAAGCTTCACAATGTGATTTTCCCTTCATATGCATCGCTTCTATCAAGAGTAAACATATCCATATTTTGCTTTTGATGGGAGTATAACAGTATATCTGTAAATATGCAAGCAAATAACTTTTTTTCCTGCCATTACCATTCGGTGAAATGTTCAACGTTAAATTTTCTGAATTACATTCAATACAGTATATGCATACAAATGGCACACCGAAATCTGAACAGAAACAATGTTGAAACAAAAGAAATTACATGATTTATATTGGTTGGTGTATGTGTATTTCATAAAATTGTTCATCTGTTGCTTTTATTCCAGTTGGCACTACTTTTTCTCATATTAAAAAAAAAAAAACAAAATTATTATTAGATGAATGCTCCTCTCCATTTGGCATCAAAGGCATTTTGCTTTATATTATGCGAAACCAACAAAATAAAATAAATTCAATTGAAAAGTAACTGTATATCAAAACATGTTGAAAGAATTTTGAATTGACGCTGTTACTTGTGCCGGTGCCTGTTTTTCGCCTACGTTTATTCAATTCAAAAGCAGGTCTACTCTGCCTTCAAACTAGTTCCCACTGTTGACTAAACATGTATCGAAAAGAATAATATCGATCTTCTCATATTGAACTATAGCAAATAATTAATGTTCGTTGAATATTCCGCACCCAGACGATTGAATTGTATATAGCAGAATTGACACGTTCATTTCAACTGCATAACAAATCACATACATTATTTCTCATAAATAATTCAATTTATATAATGCAAACAGAAAAATGTATTTTACTTTCTTAAATAAATTGGCATCGCGTCTATTGACAATGTATTTGAATCACACCCATGCAATATATTGAATCACAACTGCCTCCAGCCACATTTCTGTCAATGTTGTAGTAATAAAGATTTTTTGTAAATATTATGGCTACAATATAGAAGCACGCGAGAAAAAAAAATGCAAATAAATCCATTGCACATGACTGTGAGCGGAAGCTTGAAATGAGTACAATTCAATTTGTATTATAATATTCGGGATCAAATTAATTCATTAATGTGTGCAAGTTTTAATTTGGTGTTTATATCAACATGCCTTGCGGCAAAAACACTGCACAACAAATTAATTGAAAAACGCTCTGCTCATGTGTATACCATCCATTTGTGTGTACATTGTACATTGTACAAGCCAAAGCTTTATAATTTAAATCCCATTTTTCCCTGGAAAAAGTTTTTATAGCCATTGGGGTGAATCATATTATACGGTGATATGAGCTAATTGCTTGTAATTTTTCCGATAATTTTAGCATAGGTGATTTTGATATAGTTAGAAGACCATCCAATATTATAAAAAAAATCTCCGATATCATAGAAGAAAATTTAACACTTTTTAAACTATTGATTTCTTACTCTTGTTGAATAAAACTTTCTTTTATTCTTTTTTAAACAGTGATTCTCTTCAAACAGAAATAAATCTATTGAAAACTTTATGGGACAATTTATGGGTTTCTCATTCGATTGGTTGTATCGAATTAAACTAAATCGAAAGACTGAGGACACATTTGACCTTTGGGAAGAGACTTCACTAAATTAAGTAGAAGAGTGTTCATAACGAAATTTTTTTTTTTGAAATGCAAGTCCATTTTCAATTGGTTTTTCTATTGATCTTTAAATTTAGATAAATATAGAATATTGATTCTATACAGTGGTGTACTTGAATGAATAGAATTGTTAAATGCAATATCCAAGTATTCTGAATTGAAGTTTGTAAAAACATATATATTTGATACGGTCGCGATAGATTAAAAAATATTATTTAACGAAACGACCCATGAAATTGATTTTCTGAATGAGCTTATGAAAAAAAGTTAATTTAATTTATTCGAACTTTGAATCGGGGGATGGCTCATAGTATTAAAAAACGATTCCATAATTTTCTCTTTTTTCTTTTTGCCGAACTGCGTTTTACTAATCCTCCTTAAGTCTATGCCAAATGTACGACATACGTTGATTGTTCTGGTAACGAAAATAGAGTCCGATTTAAAAATTCAAATAATTTAATTAAAGTAGAAAAAGTTCTCGCTTATAATGACCTTTCATATAATTTAGTTTATGCGAATTAATGTGAAATACGTCACAGTATACGATGCATATGCAAAGAAAATGTGAATAAATAAGTTGTATGGGAGGGATGCTAGTCCTCGGTTTCGATATTTTTCTAAACCGTTTCGGCAGTTGATTCAACTACTAAATTCTTGATGACTTCAGCTGGCTTGTTCGTCTCTGCCCAAAGCGATTTTCTTTCCTAGAGACAGTTTGTGTGCCTGTAAATCGATAAAAAGTGAGCAGTAGACCAAGGGTAAAAATATTGAGAAAGAAAT